TTGCAGTCCCACTCTGGGGAAAAGGGGAGGAGTGTTACATACATACATACATACATTACAAGAAAGGCGGTGATACGATACGGCCCCGATCCTCTCTCTTCTTAGGAAATTCTGTTCGACTGAAAAAAAAAGTTGGCCGCAAAAGGTGGAGACGGGTAAGTAAGTAAGTGATGCTGTTGCTGATGGGGAAGAGACACGAGGGTAGATGGATGACCCTAGAAGAGACGCCGTGGCACGGGTTCACCGCAGCAGACGTTTGTGTTTTGCGTTAGGTGGGAGGTATAAGTATAGGTATAGGTAGTAGCTACAAGTGACTAACTATACCAATTAGGTTCTTCTTCTTGTAGCGTAGTGATACATGGTATACAGAAATACAGACACACAGACAGATAGACAGACATACAGACAGCCTTAAACACATACTATGTCGTACAGCCCGGTCGAACTAAGTGGGTAACCCGCTCAGGAACTCGGTATAGCTAGCTAGCTAAGCTAGTCATACTATGAGGGGAGAATGTCAAGAGATGATGGGATGGGCATGCGACGAGGCAGAGAGTTGACCACTGCTAGTAGACAGAGCCTAATAGTTACACACTGTATGTATGGCAGAAATTAAATGTCCCACTTGGACTTAACTTCGTTACGGCACATACATACGTATTAACTCAGCGAGGTTGACTTCGTGCGTAGCTGCAATATACATACATACATACATACATATCTATCTACATATATACTACTTGCATATAGTAGTGTAAGTAATAGGATATGTACAAAGCATACCTAACCTAAGAGCAATGGGGCTCTTCCAACTTCCCCATGCTCACCGTGCTACGCACCTCTTCCCAGCACGCCTCCACCGAAACCCACCGTGTAGATGAACGAAAGATGGGGGTCGGGAGCGGCAGCAGGTACGGATTTGAGGCATTTTCTCCTCCTCGCTCTATCTATCTGCCTATCTACCGATCTATCTATTCATCTGACTTGAAAGTCTCCATCCTTCGAACCAGATTCTAGCCTTCCTTCCCCTCTTTTTCAAATCATTTCTTTCGAGAACGGTGGGCTTCAGATGGGGACCGAAGACTTGGGACAGGATAGCCCTGTGTATTAGGGGGCGGACAGTCTAGGATCTGTCTAGGTTAGCGTATGTGTAGTTAGGAGCAGGTTATAGTGCCTACCTAGGTAGCACCATACATTAGAGAGGCACTTATGTAAATATTTACTGTGCCCCTTGAAATCAAGCACCGTGTCTATTCTAGGTACCTACCTACCTAGCCTAGTGCGTAAAAAAAGCGCCTACCAAAACAGCGGCAAGACGTCTCTTGTTGTGAGGCAGATAGACAATCATCCAATAGATTATTTTTGTTTTCAACAAGACAGTCTAGAACGCAGATCCTACCATACCATACCTACAAAGGTACCTAAACCTAACCTAGCAAGGACAGACCGCGGGTATTTCTACGTACAAAATATTTCCCGGCTTACCTTAGGTGGGTATAGGTATGTAGCGTGTAACCGAATCAATCACCTTATACAGTACGATATTATATATCCCAACTCTCCATCTCCTAACGACGACGACGAGATGATTACCTGCCATTGGCCCGGAGCATGCTGCGTGCCCAAGTGGAGTTCTTGTGCGCCGCTACAAATGAGGGCCGCGAGGAGCACCTCGTGGAATATTAGGGCGTACAGGGAAATCCCCCCCTACGCCCTCTGGATGGCGGATCCGCTATCTGGAGTAGAGTGTATGTATGGTACAAGCCTACCTCTTATGGAGACGGGTCCGTGACGGGAAAGTACGGTACCTAGTCTGATGTACGTATAGTGAGCGAGTAGTCGTTGTACCGGCATCTGATGTTAAAGTACCTACCTTAATCTATACAGTACCTACACAATATCCGTAGACTTAACTGGGCGGCCGATGAAAGACGGAAAGTAGTCTGAAGAAACTATCACGATCAAGTGCCGTTTCTTAGTCTCATTTGATTTCCCACCTACCCTAACCTAACCTAACTTAACCTACCCTAACGGCTAGCTAGACACGCGACAATCCTCACCTAGCCACCAGACTAACACCAGAAACACGCGAGCCTAAGTCAATCAGTCATCCAACCGGTCAGCCAGTCAGTCAGTCAGTCAGCCAGTCCCTCCCTCCCGGTCCCCCATGAAGAAACCAAACCAAACCAAACTAAACTAAACTAAACCATCCCCCCCCCAATCTCCTCCCTAAACCAAAGTCGGCACTAGCAGCCCTGCGACAAGAGCTTGTCTCAGGAATATCCGTTCTGGGGATGCCGAGAAAGAAAAGCCCTGACCTGGGTTAGTCACATACACATACCTAACTAACCTAACTACCTACCTACCTAATTTCACTCCCGACTTCCTTCTAGATATTTCTTTCTTTGTAGACCTGGCCTAAGTTGTTGTTAGCCTTGTTCTAGCAATTAATTAATCTGACAATTTCAACTCCCGGAGGCGATTCGTGGAGTAGATGATTGAACGGCTTGTTAGTTGGTTGGTTGGTGATGTTTATTTCGCTCTATTACACGCGATTAGCGCCGTGGTAGGTTGACTGACTGATTTGACTGAATGCTTGGAACGCGAGTAAGTGATCTATGAGCTCGTATCATCAAAACAGTATTCCGAATTACTTGCTACTTTTCATACATGTAAGTAAGAACAACCATATACAGTCGTGCTTAAGAATATTTCAACATTCTATCTAAATCACTCGTAAACTTCCACTACTATCACTATCTACCTAAATTACATCAAATAATAGACCATAGTAGACCAAGTTATCATGTAAACTCCAATAACTCCACGTCCTTTCATACGTCGTTATTATCAACCGTCCACAATCATATCAAGCACTTACCTCCTACCAACATATCTACACATTACATACATGTAGTATAGTATACACCATGCACTCACTTCCTCCGCCACATAAAACTCAACAATGCAATTATCTTCTACCTGACAGTACATACACTACATACATACATACATCCATCCATACACTCCACCACATTACACTACACCACAACACTGAACAACCCCCCCTTAGTACCGACAGCCCCAGCGAGGATACCCCTTCCACATCACCTACGGAAAGCCCCCCAAAATTAAGCTACCTAACCAATGCAAGCTAGCTACCTATACTAGGTACCTACCGCTATCCGATCTACCGCCCCCGACCCGTTCCATATGTCCATCCAATCCAATCCAGGGTGGTACCTACCTACCTACCTACCCTAGGGTTCCATAAGTAGTCAGATAGCGGTACCATCTCAATCAAATTGCGGGTCAACCCTAACCTAATCTAACCCAAACCAACCATGACTTAACCAGGTAAGTAAGTACCTAGGTAAACTACCTAAAAAATGCTAGTTAGTTAAACGGTGGAAACAACAAGGCCAAGCCAGGCCAGGCCAGGGCAATGAAGAAAACGGGTAGGGTACCTAACCTAACCTAAGGTCTAAGACCCCCCGAGCACCCCCTCACCAACGCTGTCGATCCTCGTCCCGACAGTCTGGGTAAGGGAGGAGCCGCTTAACCTAGTTTAGATGGGCTGACTTCAAACTGGCCAATAATACGACACTATTCTAAAATACGCAGAAATCAAAGAAAAATCCGGGCACGCACGGAAGAAGGACGAATCAAAATAGAAACTTAAGTGGCTTGGATTTGTTGGAGTACTATCGCCTACTAAATCTAAGTAGCACAACGATATAGAATAGGCACACGCAACTTTAGCACTTCGTACCTCCCATCTCATTCATCTCATCATCACCCACCCCCCCCCTTCCACTACCATTGCTGACTAGCCTAGGTCAGATCGGTCTATGTGGCTCAGCGCTTAACGCACCATACCGTGCTACCAATCCTAGAACACAATGCAACTTAACGCAACGCAGTAGTAGCAGGAATTCCTCATCTGCCTTCTGAACAACGCACCCTCCCCCACCCTCCAGATTGTCCACTATGTCCCTGGTGCGATGAAACATTGAGGCCTGATCACAACCGGTCGTAAAGAATCTCGAGGCGTGAAAAATAATTGACGTGTGGTATTCGCGTTCCAGTCGCCCGGCCCCCTAACACCGCGCATCTCTCTAGCTATTTCGTAGAAACTCTTTTTTTAACTGACATTGCTTCCTCCCATCCTAATGCCTCATGCGGAAACATGAATCGTGAAGTTAAAAACTGCGTTCTTCTGGTGTACAAAAAGAAAAAAAAAAAAAAAAAGAAATGCAACGAGGTATGCAACGGAAATATTGAAAACAAAAAGCACCGCGGATGATATAAACCATATGCCAACGATCCTATGGCAAGAGGCGTCTAGAGAAAAAGAAAATCAGAAAATAAAAGGGCAACTGGCAACCCTTGAAAAAAAATCATTCCGTCTGGTGCGTAACTCATGCGAAATGCCATGCGTGATAGTATTATCCCGTGCTATAAATCCTCCGCACTCATACCCAAGTTCCGAGTATAATGTTTCGTTTTGATTGGTAACAAAACTGTACCTATGGCCGATCGTATGCTTAGGATCGGTCTGTATCATGTAGTCGCAAAATGATTGGTAGGCATCGACCTCGGAGATCTATAAAGGCGCAACTAGGGACATTTCGGATTATAGTTCGCATTCGCTTCTGTGACATTGGCATATAGATCTATGCTTGTCGGTAGTATTCGTAGTGATGTGTCATATGCCAAAAGAAGTTGTACAAAGTAACTTCTTCCTTCTTTCCACGTGTGGTATATGGCATAGGGTCACCTCTAATCAGAGGTAATAAGGTTATGGTGTTCTGCCCAAGAATATTGCTTTTCCGCGCCAAAATACAGGTTGGATTATATTTGTAATCCTTATCCTAGTTTCACTTTCTTTTCCTCCTTTACTCCCCCCTCCCCTGAGATCAGATGTCAGCGGCCCAATAGAAATGTCACAAACACTAATTCCAAAATTAGGACCGGTCTTTTGTTGGAAATCAGCGTTACTATGGCTGGAATTGACCACCTGGTACCGGCTGGCCCCAATAAGGATATGAAAGCCTGTTGTTGCGGTTGTCGTCAGGGTCTTCAAATATGGGGTTGAAATCAGTATGCATCGTTGTTGTCAGTCCTTGGCCCCCATGTACGTTCATAGGTGCTTGGTGGCCTTGGTATAGCCCCGTCACGTTCTCAAGAGCGTACATATTTTGATGGCCGGTCTGGCTGTACTGAGCAACGTTAGGCCCGAAGGAGAATTCATGATTTGCGTTATTTGTCGGCAATACCATCGATTGTATTGTATTCGACGCTAACATCATGTTCTCGTGACTAGGATCGGGGGGTGTTATCGGCTCGTCTCTTGTATGGGTAGGAAGAGAATACTGCATCCCCTCGTAGACGACATTTTGCATTTGTCCCTGAAGGTGATTACTGCTGTTGCCCGGTGTGAATATAGGGCCCGGGTTTTGTCGACCTAGAATCGCCCTCTTGCTTGCTGCCGCTTTCTTCCCACCCTTGCGACCGGACACGGCGCGCGCTGAAGTATGGGCGTTCGTCCGCGAGGCGTTTCTGGACTTGGCGCGACGATTAGAAGTTCCCTTACTGCGGTAGCGCGTCGTACTTTGTACGCCATCTACAGCCCATTCCTCTAGAACCCATTGTGATATCTTTTTTGCCTCTCCCGACCCATTTAGAGGGTCATCGGAACTCGCTTTTCGTTCGCGTCTGACAAAGGCCTTTTTTTGTTGGAAAGGATTAGTTAGTCGCAAATTCAGCTAGTAATTAAAATTCCCGTAAAGATTATCACCGAAAGCAAGAGTATACTTAGGTAGGTACGTGCCGTCATAATATCATGCGCGGAAATCAGGGCGGAACTTACATGGTTCATGCTGAGATTATGCCGGATACTATTCTGCCATCCATTGCGTTTGTTCCCCTTGTCTGTCTTTTCCTTGTCCGTGTTCTCACGAAACCACTGATAGATCTCCTGTAGCGTCATCGCGCGTGTGCGCCGGCTCATGAAAGCCTGATGGATTAGTTGCGCATAAGGGCCATCTGCCTTCTCTGACTCTTGCTCGTTCTCCTCGAGCCCCTGGCCGACATGTTGTGAAGCTTCATCTTGGCTATAGGAGCTGTATGATGTATCTAGTCCATTTTCTGCCTGAGGTGATTCGCTTTGGATTACAAGAGCCTGGTTAGGCTCTGTGTGGCTGCTGGTAATGGATGATACCTCGGGTTGTGACATAGAACTTGTAGCCAAGTCGACTGAAGAAAAACTGGGGTTCTCATACGCGGATGTAGCCATCTGGGAATGGAGCTGTTGCTCATGCTTCAACTGGTGGCAGCCTCTAAAGTTATAACCGGACATGTGATCTGATTCCTTAAGAAATGTCTGGTGGATGTTAATGTGCTGGGCTTCTTGGGGCGACCAGCTCCTTGGACTAGCAACTGAAGAGTGTCCGGAACAAGACGCAAGGGGTTGAATACCGCGAGCACCACTAGTAGGTGATCCTTGATAGGAATAATTATCGAATTCTTCTTCACAAGTAGTAGAAGGTGGTGTTGGCCATATACCCTGTGGCGAGGAACTAGCTGAGTGAATCTGGGAGTGCTGGTAAGCCGGAATTGACGTATTGATTGTCATGGGGAATAAAGCGGAAGATGGGGGCTGCGGTTGGGCGTGGTGGCCTACTTCCGCAACCTGTGGAGCCGGAGAGGGAATATAGTAGGAGTCTGCACTGGGGAGATCCGCCGAGTTACCGGTTGATTGTGTTGCGCAGTTTCGTCTTTGATTAGTTACTGGATTGCAAGACGGTAAGCAGTCGACGGGCAAGCCGTCAGGGAATCTTTGTTGCATTCCGGCGAGTCCAAGACGCTGTCGACTAAGAAAGTCAGACTTCGCTCACGGTGCCGCGACCACCAACGAAGCGAGAAACAAACCAATGCAGAAGTAGTTGGGGATGCGAATATGGGTTGAATGTAAGTATGCTTTCCAAATGGATTACAAACTTAAGTATAGACGATGTGAGAAGGATGATAAGTAGTAAGTAGGAGGTAAAAGAAGGAAACTTGATGTATGTGGAGGAGATGGGAGAGGTACGGAGGTAGATATGTGTTTAAGTGCGTACCTTGGGAGGTATGTAAGTATGCGTATAAGTAAAGTGTAAGGTTGTTGTTGAATTTTCTTGCTATGCAGGCAAGTTGAAGGAATGATGTACGGATGTTGTATGGAGGTTGTATGGAGTATGGAACTCAATTCTATGCAAGATCAATGGGCACTTTGGAAGTCAACGTACCTAAGGTACATATGTACGTACTAGATGTAGCTGAAGAGATACCTGAGGTAGAAGTAGAGGTAGAGGTAGAAGTACAGTACGTAAAGGTACGTAAATAGGTACGGTACTAGGAAGAAGGATGGTCTGGGGTGGGAAATCGTACTTTCATCAACATGAGATTAAGAATTATGTACTTAATGACGGACCCATAAGAACCCTGGTAACTACAGATAATCCAGTAGATCCCAGGCGGTGGCACCTGGCTGGTTACCTAGGACATGTACTCTGGTACCTACGTGTATGCAAGTTGGTACTTGCATCCGTGGAATAGTGGAAGTATAGACCAAGTAGAGATGATTTGGAAAGCCCTAGTCGTTCCCTCTAATCTAGGAAAAGGGGGTACGTACCTGCTACTAGCTTGTTGACAAGGAAGGAGAGAGCTCACAAGACGACCCTAGTTCAAAGTTGAGCTGGCCAATGCAAAAAGGATCAGTGACGTGTGTGGGTCCCTAACGGTGTAAACTGTTCTGTCTTCCTGTCAAATGAGCGTTAAATAATTTTCTAAGTAAAAGTCTTTGGAGCTAGAACCACCTGGGTAAGTTGCCTGGGTAAAGTTGGGCAAAAGATGAGATAGACCAAAATGGGGCGCCGGTCAAGACAACTTTGCGTTCCCACAACACCGGGCTATTGTAGCTATTGTATGTCAGAAGATGACAAGACTATTAAAGATATTTTGAACTGATCTGTAACCTGCCAACGCACTATCTGGCTGCCCTCTTCGCCGGCAAATCCTTCTCCGGATTTCTAGAAATTCCTAATTAATGTTTATTATTATTTCTCTCTCCCCCTTCTTCTCACCTACATTAGTTACAACTTAGCTTGATGGGAGACTTAATGAGCTTTGTGGTATGTAAAATGCTGTCTGTACGTATCCCAAATATTTCCATATATCGTATACAATCGTGTATTCGTATATTATATATGCGTATTTAGTATGCGTCAGCACATATGTGTGCGTACTTGTATGCATGTGTGCTTCCTATACATATAACTACATACATTTGCATGCATACAGCGTGTTTATCCTTGTGCAAACGGAATTGTGTTTCGTGTGTCTAATGTAGAGGTCGTCCACGGCGTGGCTATCGGGGATTTGTTGCGCGTCAGGGGTATTAGCAAGTTAAACAAGCTATGACACATCTATAATAGATATCATCTTAGAAGAATTTACTATTCGCAACGACTAACCTTAACGGAACAGAGAAGAAGTCGGGAATTTAATACTGACTTCGAGAGTAGGAAGAGATAAAATAAAAATAACCTTCTAATTAATCGACTTCTAAATAATGGTATTGTGTAGGTGGCAACGTAAGCCGTCATGAAGACACTGTGCGCAGAATAGCAACGGAATTAGGGCTCTCTTCCCGCGTCCGGATACTTGCATCGTGAGTAAATATTAGTAGATTCGCCAAATAGAACCAATCATTATTTGAATCTCGCTGTCTCCGGCGGGATCGCCCTTTGCAGCCTTATTAAAAAAAGATTCTGAAACTGTCTTGAAGAAGAGCCCCCCCCTAGCCATCTCTGCCGCATGCATGTCATCGCAACGACCCCTTCTAGAATTTCGATCGAAGCTTTAATTTGCAAGGGTTCCTAGATCGTTCGCTCATAGAAAGCTTCCAAGAGTGTCTCGGGCTGTAAAAGACAATGGCTAAGTCGGCAAGGAGTCCCTTAAATTAATTCCTCACTTTCACTTATAATTCACTATGCGTTCACTCTAAATGTAGCATACAGTGGAACATCCTCACGGGGATGAATCCGAACTTCACAGCAGGCCAAAGCTCCATCTCTTTACCCTTAACATGTCTCTGATAACCCCCCCTAAATAGAATTCCGTCTTCTAACCGGAGTCCCTTATAACGCAACTAGGTTAAGGAATTAAGGTAGCTCTCCGTGAGTCGTACTACCAAGACTAAGGTGATTTGCACTTCTCCGATGCATTTCCACAATGCAATGAATATTTGCAAATTACTTGCCAATGCCATTCCCATATAATACCCAAATATCGTCCTATGATATTAGGTTAGGTGATTGGTACAAACCCATACTGTATAGTGGCGTAAAGTAGAATCGCTTGCGTTTGCCATTGAGAAACTGTTGACAAATGGTGGCTGGGTTCTTCACTTCCGATAATAGATCTATATGACATATCAGTATTTATCACAATGTGGTCAAGTATAAAGGTACGTACCTTCTTAAACTGGAAATGAAGTTGAAGAATTCCCTAGACATAATATATTAGATACGGCCTATACTGGGGGTAGTTCAAGAAAAGCAGGGGTGGAAATGTGCATGAGCCGAGGAGAAGTAATTCGAAACCCACGCGCAAGGCGATATTGCTAGGCGTGGCTTGGGATAGGCAAATTAGAGGCTGTCAGATGAAAACCGAAAAACCAGCGTTTGCCACCCCTAAAAAGTCCGGCTATCACAGTTTGGTGATTTTTAGACACGTGATATAGAAGCATATCACTACAAGCCTACAGCCTACGACGTAGGAAAATTAAAAGGAAGTAGTGTGACATAACATACCTTGTCGAAGCTACTCTTAAATCCGCGATCCTTCTTTGCGCTATAGTCCCATTCCCGGTCGACAATGCGAAAGGCAATATCTTCGTATGGCGGCCCAGCAATAAAACGAATCAAGCAGGTATCTTCTTCCCCTGCCGGCGCAAAAGATTCGCCTCTCCTTCTTCCGTGCTCACGAATGATCTTGAATGTGGGTGCTTTCGTCTTGTCGATGAGATCAGGATAGAATATGTTGAATTTATAACCTTGAACTACTTTTGGAGGCGGGTTATCGTGGTCATAATGCGTCTGATTGTACTTATTCCACTCGTATCCCATCTGCACTCGATTGAAATACCGCGGTTTACGAGGCCTGTATTTATCTGCCCACTGCGGTTTCGTACCACTTGGAACTGTCTCTTCAGCTGTGAATATCTCCTCATTCTCGCTGATCCCTCGAGCAACTTCTCGCTCATATAGAGCCTTGGTAGCTTGGGAGAAGTCTTCATTTTCGCTCGTCGCGAATCTGGCAGTACCAGGAGGTGGTGCGCTGGTCGGGTTACTGGTAGCCGAGACAAATGCCGCATTAGGTTTTGACTTTGGAGCAGAAGTCGTCGCTATCTCTTTTGATCCAGCATGAGCGGTACTCCCAGATGATTCGGATTCTGTGAGCTCTTTTGCCTTTTCAGGATCCTGATCCCCCAATAACTTTATTCTACTTTCTCTAATTTCCTCGCAGATGTTCTTAAGCTTAGCTTTTGCTTTAAAGATTTGCAAGCTCTTGAGTAGTTGTTCCCAGTAATCTGTGTCCATGACCTCATCCGAACGCAGCTTGGCCTGTATCTGGCCTTCTAGCTTCTCTAACTGCTCGAGATTCTTGGGACCCAGTATTTTATCCACGTCGGCGCTGACAGAATTGACAACGCGCTCCTCAGGACCCATAGGTTTAAGCCGCTGTCTTCTATCGGTGCAAAGCGTCTGCAGTGCCTTCCAGTATGCTTGATTCCTCTTATTCGTTTCAAGAGTCAGGTACGGCGTAATATCAGCATCTAGTTCGTCAAGAGCAGACTCCTTCAGCCCTTCTATAACGGTGCTAGGTGGAGGCACATCAATATTAGCGTCGGCATCGTCATCGTCAAATACATCGCGGTCCGTATCGATATATCGTAGATTGAATGCAAGGAGATCGATAGGTTTTGCTCGTCCTTCTCTAACGCGAATATCTGCCTTCTTCTTGGCCTGTTTTAGAACGAACTTGTCTTCATCTGCGACGAATTGTTGAGATTGCTCATCTTGACTAAGCCAATTTTGGGTGGTAGAATTCGTCGGTTTGTTCGAGGTCGGTCGCGATGGCTTGGTGATTCTATTATTGAGATCTCGTCTAGGAGATGTGATATCGCGACGAGGGGGTGACTTACGGCCATTAATCATAGCACGTCGTCCGGGATCCATCCTTCCAAATTTATTGACCTGATCTATTGAACAGTACGGGGGTATATGTAGAATAGAATATGGATGATGGGGTATTTGTTGTATTCTCAATGTTGTAAGACTGTACTGCACGTATGCATCAGCATCAGCATCAAGACTTTAGCTGTTTGGTGATGAATCCACTCTTATCTGCTTATCCGCTAGTTAAATTACATAAGCTTTTAAGTATATCTGCTGACTCATCCAACTCCTGCCAGACCAGACCACCTTTCCCCCCTTTTTTTTTCTGAAAACACCTTTTTGCAGTGGGGCCGGACAACCGTTTCTTTCAAACGGAACCACCGAGAACCCGGAATATCTATACATGCCGCACCGAACTATGCCGGGCTGCATCCGCTTACACCGGTCTATCCTGGTAGCATTGAATCACCGTTCTTAATCCCAGTCAATATCAGCTAGGGCGGATAGTAAAATCAGCTTTAGCCTAACTAAAGTCCGGCGAAGACTCGTTGCTATAAGTAAACATCATATCATGCAGCGTCAAAGGAAAGAACCCCCTTCTTAGGTAGAGACGTGGATATTGAGTCGGGTCAGTGAGGACGAGGGCATCGGAAAAGAAACTAAGCATATACTAGACTAGGAAGTTATTAGTTCTGCTTTTTCAAGATGACTGATGACCGGAGTGTATTGCTAACTATCTAAGTACCGGTACGCAGCAAAACGATTGTATTTGACTTCCCAAAAAGCTAACCTAGGTCGTAAGTAATGAGAAAAAAAACTCAAGTTAAAATTCTAATCGGATCTTGTAAATCTTTTCATCAATCGCAATTCAGAGAGTAGCAGGGTTGATTCCCTGGGCATTGATAGTATCCATCCAGAAAATGCAGCCATCCTTAACATCTGTCCAAGCTTTACCGATTTCCTCGACATCCTCTTTAGACAACTTAACCTGCTTCAGCAATTCCACGTCGCAAAGTATAACTTCGAGCCTGTCCGCCATCTTTGTCACGACACTCTCCATCCCCTCTGCGGCGTCAAGCACATTCTTAAACAGTGGACGAATAGTTCCGAGGCCTTCATACGCCACGTTCAAGTCCCTCTTTGTGTTCTGAAGAACACCAATGAGCGCAATGATATCCGCCAGTTTTAAGCTATCAATGACGCCCGCGATAGTCGCAGCTGTCGCTGTCGCACCTAGACCTAGGGCCTCCACAGTGGTGAGTGCGATGGAAACAGGGCCGAGGAAGGCGAAACCAGCGAGGAGAATGGCAGTCGCAAACGTCATCGCGAAAACATCAGCGATAAGGCCGATTATAAGGTTGCGCCTCTCTTTCTTCAGCTCATCGATGTTTTGGTCGACCTCTTCCAGCTTCTCTTTGATCTGTTCTAGGTTAGCCTGTACCTGCTTGAGGACGAAGGCGTAGTCCGCCGATGACGCCCGGAACTTGCCAGCCGCGGTGCTCGCAGCCTTTTGGCCGTAGCGCGCTGACTGCAAGCTAGAAGACACGAAGATATCGATTCGCAGTTCTCCGCTCTTGACATTCCGAGCACGTGTCTCCTGCAGCAGCGAGGTGGTGTACATGTTAAGGATTACCGGGTATTCATTGGATATCATATCGACATATTGGCTCCGCAGGCGGCTGACAACGTCGAGGAGGGAAGACTTCTCGATTTGATTGGTATCCCAGTATCCCACAATGCCCGAAAGATACGGCGACTTCAACAACTTCTCTATTTCGGCGAAGAAGCTCTTCGCCTTTTCTGCCTGGCTCGTTATGGCTGTGTCAAGTTTACCTGGCGCTGTAAGTGCTTCTACTACCCTAGCCTCGATTTCAGATGCGGGGGCGATTGGGGATCTCCTTTGCACTACTAGATCCACGGAGTGAGAGTTTACTACATCTTTGGGGGGGCTGGTATCTATGCCCCTGCTGGCGAGGATGTCAAGAATTTCGTTGCTTTCCTCCTGAACGTTTGTCCATTCCACGTCAAGGAGCGACTCGTATATGGTAATGTCTTCCCTAATATGTCCTTGAATTGTGGTGAGGAGTTTGTGCACCACCCCTAGGCAGCTATTGATCGTCTGTACCATCTCTATCCAAGTAGTGTTATGACCATCGATAATATTTCCTTTAGATATGAGGTCCATGAGCCCGTTGATGGAGCTGCTGATATCTCGCAGCCGCCTGCTCAGATCCCTCTGTTTTTCATCTTCTCTCACGGCTTTGTATGCGAGAATGGCGCCCCGACCACCCAGCGAGATACACGAAGGAATATCGATATCCTGAATCTGCTTATTTGCAGAAGTTGTGGCCGATGCTGCGATGGCTTTCAAGTAGTTAATCTCGCGGTTGAGATATTCCTGGTAGTCTGTGGCCGCGTGGTTCACGTCGTTGAAAGCAGTATTGGCCCGGGCAGCATACATTTGGGCTTTGGTGCAGTTATCAATTGCTGTCTCCAGTAGGGTATTCTTGAGCTTGTCAATCTCCTCTTTGCCTCCATTAGCCTTCTTGTAGCGGTCCAGGAGGTCCTGGATGTCCTGGCACATGTACATAGTCTTGTAGAGCATTCCGATTACAACAGGCGCTGCTGTATTTATGCAGTTTTCAATAGCAGTAGGGTCGCTAGTCCCGGTGATTCCAACAACATTTCCGATTATATTGGAAAGAGACGTCCTGCATAGAGCGGAATTATTGAAAAGGGCCGCAGCGTTCTTAATGCCACGGGTATCATACCAAATGCTGGATGTTATCTTGTCTAGCATGAGGCTGTCTGTCTTTCGCATCACGATGCTAAGCGCATCTTCCATGAGGTTTTCATACTTGTCGAGTTTGTCATGAGATAGGGCGTCTCGGGCAAGTTCAACAGTGGCATAGAAAAGAGCATCCAGATTTTCATTGGTTGCAATGGAAACAGTCTTGGCTAACTTCGTCCGGTATTGCGACTTTGCGACTGTTAGCTCATCAGGGATAATAATGCCTTGCTTGTTCAGGACGTCCAAGTAGGTGAAAGCAGCCCTAGAAATATTTTTGGTGATGTCTAGCCCAGCATCGATGGAAGAAGTGTCATCGAGGAGTTTTTCCCCTAACAAGAAGGCTGTAACATCATCCATGGCGCCTAGAGCGTCGGCTTGGTTGCCCATCCCCCCCCAGAATCTGTTTAGGTTGGTGTATAGCCTATCAAGTTCGGTAAAGTTCGCGACCACCGAAGCAAGTTGCGAAATAGCCACGTTGGTGACCCTAATCTGCGATTGCGTCTGAAACATCTGATTTTTTAGTTCCGTTATCTTGACGGACAAGATTATCGTAGAGACAAGACCTCCGACGAAAAGGGCACCGGCGGCAATGGCATAGGGAGCGCCGACTCCAGTGGCGACTAGCAGCACCCCGGTAACCAATCCTAACAAGATCAGCTAAGAGACATAACAGTGAAGGGAATTGGTAATCGTCAGAAGTTAGTTCAATGAGAGACAAGCTTATACTTACCTAATAACGTCAATGCCACCGAACCCCAAAATGCAGCATTAAGCTTACTCAGTGCATCTTTTTGGACATCAAGTGTGTTGTTCAGAGCCAACAACTTATCCTTGAGTAACTGTAACTGAATTTCTAGCTGAGACTTGACGTCCTGGAGCTGAGCAGTCATGATATTGACGGCATTATTAGTATTCAGGATGGACCTGTTCAAGATCATTGACCACACCTTGGCGTGGTTGACAAAGCGTTTACCAGACTCGATAGCTTGCTCTCTTTTCTTGTCGTCCGGCTCCAAGGCCCATTTGTCGGCAGTTTCCCTAAGGTTATCTAAGTAGAATGTATGGGCTATCGAAAAGGCATTGATCTTATTCACAAGGGGGTATAACGTCGTTTGCGTTTCAATATACCTTTCCTTTAGCGTACGGGTCAAAACTCGGAGATCCAACACCACGCCTGGCGACGCAACGCCGAGATTAGTGACACCGTCCTGGCGAACCCACTTAGACCACTTCACTGCAGGGTCTGTACCGTCACTTGGAGGGTCCTGGAGGTATCTCTTGTACAAGTAGCCATCAGATCGCACGGTGACAGGTCCGAGGTCTGTCGCCGTGAACTCGGATGTGGATTCAATGGGCGTCTTATCTGCTATAGTATACGTGCCCGCCTCAAAGTTGACCTTCAAGCTCCAGGTGTTGTTCTGGTCGTCGAGAGCCACGATGCTGTTGCTCCAGTAAGCCATCCGGGACCACATTGGCGGCGCACTCGGATCGTCTTTTCCCTTTATGTACGAAATGGTATTCCACGTGTTGGACCCATAGATATCATCCTTGGCTAGAACCTGAATAGAGCTATCTTGGTTAAGGATCAAGAGTTCGAATCCGACTTCTCTTCTTGTAGGGTTAAGCTTAGCAAAGGGAATCACATCTCGAAGGTCGTCGGCGGGGAAGACACTGTCCCCGATCCTCTCCCAATCATTCCTGTACAACTTGGGCCAGTTACCAACAGACTGCGTAAGGGTAGATTCATGGGGAAATATGTGTCTCTTCCGCCAAACCGCGGTTCCCACCGAAAGATAGAAGTCACCTTTGTAGGGAAAGAAGTGGATATTGGAGTCGGCCGACAGGTTGGCATCGGTGGGGAAGGCAGCAAAGGATTTCCAGACATCTTTGGTTCCAGATTTTGCTAAAAGATCTAGCTGGGTGTCTAGATATACGATCTGCTTATTCTTCAAACCAATGACAGGCACAGTGTTTAGCGTAGCAGAGAAATCTTCCAAGTATGGCTTATTCTGATAATTTACTTTAATTAGTAGAAAGTATCTGCTAAGGTAATAGGTCTCAACTCACCAAGACTTCGTTGAAGTTATCGACAATTGGCTCGATAGAGAAAGCCATATCACTCAAGCTTTCATACTGGCTACCGAGGCCACTTTCCTTATTAGCAGACATAGTGGTAATCAACGCCTGCACATCGGGTGGAAGCCAGGGATCTCGAAGAGTAGCTTCGTTAGAAGTTCTACGGGCTGGATGTTCTCCCGATTCTTTAAGGGTATGGTTGAACCCCAAATAGGATGCGGAGGGAGTACATTTGGTTCTAGATTTGGGTCCATTTGGGCTTGGGATAGAGCGTAGCTTAGCTAACGTGCTATCAACCAGAGAAATCGTACTTTTGACAGCAGACATCGCCTAGGAAGTATCGTCAGAGACATTTTCTTTACGAATGAACGTTCATACTTACCATAGCCTTGGCATCCTTGGCATCCTTAGCTTCTTTCGAGTTGGTGACCTTGTTATCTGTAGCCTTGATCTCAGAATGAACGAAATTATTCAAAGAGTCTGCCGTAGCAAGGGCATATCCGAGAGAATCCATGATTCTAGACGATAAAGGGTAAAATACCAAGTCTTAGAGTAAAAGTGAGAAAGCTAATGAAGCAATATAGAGAGTTGGCAGTGTCCTTGAGTTTCTTCTGCCATAAGTTTGAGAGTTAGGGAGGCTTCTAGGGGCTTTTATAGAAAAACTACATCTTCTAGAATGCAAGACTTTGCGAGTAACTCACCGAATAGCATATCGCTTCTTAGTTCGCCATCCGCTTTGGAATCCAAGTCTGGCTAATGTTAGCGATCTTCCATACCACGACGACCATACCAGATGCCCGATGCAAAATATGAACCATGTCGAGGTCTATATGATGCAGTCATCATGTAGCGCAAGGAACCTTTGCAGGAACCCATGGAGGCCGAGATGAACGCAAGAGTAGAGTAAGTAACCGGTCTGCAGGCGCTAATCTTGACTGAATACTGGCAGAATTCTTATGAATTATAGCGATAATCCCCCCCTATGCATCCGGCCACACATGCTTCAGCCCTCATATTTCACGTAGAGACCAAACAGGCCTTTGAGGGTCATAGTTGACTTGGAAGTGAATTCTCCCCTCGTTCAGGCTAGGTCGGTCAGACTTGCATCGCATACCGTCGCAAAAAGAACATTTCTCAACCCTGAATAGACACGTCATAAATATTCTATGCGTATCAGCTACAGAGCTCGAGAAGGAAAGTTTTCTCATATCCTAGGTTATCGTAGGTGTTAAGGAACGCACCTTTGTGTATTACATTGCAGAATATTAGTAGCCTATTTATATTGTAACATAGCCGATATATACTGATGAAGATGTTAAAGAAGGTAGTATTGATAAAATTACTGATGATCCGATTGGTTGTACTGAGATGGTGAGAAGGAGGCTTGCATTAGTAATGAGTGATTATATGAAAAAAAGAGATTTTAGGTCACTTGACAGGGATAGACAGGTACCTATCTTACAGTTTTAAAGTCACTTGATAGGACAGATGGAAAAATCTGACAATTAATCTATAGTTATGCTTGCTTTTTGAGTTCGGCTTTTCCTACCCTAATGATTACGTTACGTAGGTAGGTACCTATTCGTATCGTCGTATCACTTGGATTTCCCTTTAAGCCCTCTTACACTAATACGATATCAAAATGACATCTTTTTCTTATTCCTCCTCATAAAATATTACGTCGCGGTAGCCTAGGTAAGCCAGAAATATGAGCGCAACAATGCGAAGAAATCTCATCTGTATTTTATCAGTATAGTAACGTAATAGGGGGAACCTTTTGAGTCTCACGAAATATTCCTTATATTCCACCGTTTTTGTTGGTCCACCTCGAGGCTCTTCCCGAGGCTCTTCGCGGGGCTCCTCTTCGCTCTGCGTTCTTGGCAAGGCGTTGTTGGCATTCCTCTGGTTGGCCTGTACACGTTGGACGTGGTCATTCTGTAGGAGTTCAAGGCTCACTTGAAACAGTGACGCAACTCGCACCGACTCTTCCATCTGCACTTTCATAGCGGCAATGTGCTTATTTATAGCCCCCATATGATCACTGACGATATCGAGATTCTTGTCCTGGATATAGGAGCGAATGTTCTCCAGCTGTTCGCAGTGGGCCTCTGTACACTTCTGAGTGGCGATGATAAACTTTACGAGGACCTCGATGGTTTCTATCCCATCGCCATCGGAAAACCGGACACGACGGCTCCTGCGATGGTAACGGTGCATCCGATCTTGGATATCCGCTAGCGTCGCCTAAACATCGCGAACTCTTATTAGCAAGTGGCAATACAGATATGAAAAGTTGCCAGAAAATAAAATCTCGAGCTGGCCCCTGTAAGATGTGGATATATATACTTACACTAATTGAAGCGATGCTGTCGGGTTCTACATCGCTGTCATTAGACGAGGTAGAGGAATGCCCTGATATTCCCTAGCAACGAGATCAGTTAAATTAGACGTCCTTTAGAAACAAGTGTATATTACAAGCCAACTTACAATTTGCCTTGTTTTGGAAGACATGTTATCTTAGATACGGCCAGTAGGTTGTACCTAAGCTTGCAACAGTTAGGAAGTCCTTATTGACCAACTTTAGAGGCCTCTTTTCCGGTTTGTTGTTTTTAGTAGATTTGAGATGTCGACGTTTAGAAAGAAAAAATAAAAGTAGAAGGACATAGTTAGATATATATAGAGGTCTTCTTGTAATACCTCAGGTATCGAAAGGAATATTTTCGTAGTGGCACTTGCAAGATGGTGTGTTGTTTTGAGGCCCGTGCTTCTTAAGTTCGTGAGTTGTAAACCTGTGAGTTTCTGCGAAGGTACCTCAGGTAAGTTGACAGGTGGATACGTACCTGACGGTCGTACTTTCACTTGCCATTGTTGACGTTTTATCCGCTAAATAATTCCACAGTCACGGAGCCGTGACAATGGTAACCTTCTTGAAATTATACATCATTGCCAGGACAGTTCTCTATGATTCAGTAACATGGTTTCCGTGGGGATGCTTACCATATCCACCCCCCCAATTCGAATTCCCCCTTCTTTGTATTAGGTACCTAATCTTTGTAGGTTATACCAAGGATTTCTTAGATGCTCTAGAACCCTAAGTTCATGCCCATACTCAACTTGTAGACTAATACACCAATAGCTACAAGATCGTATTAAGTAAACAGAAGACATTATTTAAAATTATATAAGTAATAAAGTTACTAGATCATGATGTATTGAATGTTGACATAATTCGCAAATTACTAAAACAAATCACTATATCTGTTGCCAGACCACTATCAGCATGTAAGGCTAGGATACATTGCAGAACCAAGACAACATGGGAGTAATTATTTGAAAGCATGTTATTAGTGAAAGGCCTCAATTCTTGAAAAGCTCTATCTTATTCTTCTCCGCCTCATCCCCGGGATATACACCCAGTAGCAGATCCCTGGTCGTAGAAATTAAAAGATTCTCCATAGCAGAGCATAAGGAGAAGTAAAGAGGAAGAACAGAAGAATGACAGGAACCATAACGACCATGGCTGTCACAAATTGTTCCTAAGATTAATTAGTTTACATATTTTCAAATAATCGGCATCGTTACTCACGTCTCTAGCAGGGCGTAGGATGATCTCGGGTCTCTCGTAACCCTTTCCTGGATAAAGATTGAAGCAGGTGGAGTCGTCCTCCACAATCCGACGGACCACTTGGCATTCATCAGTAATCTCCTTCAGCTTCATACCAATTTCCACAATTGCAGTGAAAGAGCCTTCCTTCAGTTGCTGATTTAGGTGGTTTGTAACTTCCTGGAGGCTTTGGTCAAGACGCTTAATGGCACGGCGATTTGCATACTGGTGCGAAGCGTACTCTTCTTCCTATAGGTTGAAATATCCATCAGCAACAACTCCGCTGAGTAAGTCCAACCTGAAAGACCACGGTGTGCTTGAAGTTGATAAGGGCGGGATGTTATATTTTGGGGAAATTTGTAAATACTAAAAGATATAGTGGGAATAAATGAAATGCGGACTTACGGTAAGGAGAGGAGGGCCAGAAACCTGGTGGTAGTGCCTATCACCAAGGCGGTAAATAGGACGAGGCTTCAAGCCAGACATCTGATTATACGATCTAGTCAATAAACTATAAAGGGTAAATTAAAAGAGGTAGGTATTGCTTACCTTGAGTCAGTCTACTCAGAAGAGTAACCCTTTATAGGAAGATACCGACTGAAGAAAGCTAAAATTGGTAGGTGTTAGATAGATAGAGTAATGTGGATGTTGAGACTTAATATCAAAATGGGGTTTGTTAAGAAAGAAATGACAATACTTACGAATCGCAATGCAGATATGGATGTGGAAGGGTTTTCTGATATTTTAGATATGTAGAAAAACTCAAAGATTCTTGGAGGCAAATCTTTATTTGGTCTCATGGAGATACATGAATCTGAAAGAGGGAGAAACTGATTCAACTTCAGATTGGACCATGATTTTATAATTAAATCATGAATTAGGTTACGGACCGAGGTACAAAATACCTGAGTCACTGACACTGTCACCGTAGGTAAGATTGATCTAGCGAGGTCCGTGACTATGTGGGCCGGAACAAAAGGTGTGCAGTAGGTAACCTTGCACCCCCTTTATTTCTTACACCATACCTCTGGCAGCTGGCCCGGCCAGTTGGACAATGACTTTTATGCCTCTAAGAACATTCTCACCTAGCAACCGCTGTCGAATTATCATTTTAAAGTCAGTACATATATTCTCTACTTAAGTATATTGAGTATGAACATGCGATAACCGATAAGAATAAAAATCACGCCAGAGCCCGACTTTGATATCTAAGTTAGTCATGGGGTTGAACTTATTTGATTGTTTTATAGTATGCGTAAATCTCTTGAATCCTACTGTTCTAACATAATACAGAATATAATTGTAGGCCATAATTGAAACAACATATACTACAAAGGTTAATGTGTCTATATTCATCTACCGCATTTTACTCTCCGGTGTATAAAACTTAGCAAGGTACCTCAATTCGAATTAGGACAGTGAAAATGACATAGCGAACTTCATCCATTCTGGAACAATTAGACAATGCATTGTTATTATTTTTCGTTGCCGGTTACACTAAATGAAATAGCTACAAAACATACTCTTCGTATTTAAACGGAAGCTTTGTCTCAACTGTGTATCCCTTCAACGACCGTTTTATCCGGAGAGAATTAATGTCTAAGTGATAGAACTATATTTTGGGGGCATCTCCTTTAGAACTACCTAATATTTACGCACCAGATCTAGGTATAGATTAATGATATTTTCTAGTGCTTTGAAATAAAAACTAACTAAATAGTAACAATCTTAGAAGATAATAAGCTATTATTGGTATATATACACAAAGATATACCAAGCTTTATTTACTAATAACAATGAAGGAAATAGACAAGACTCCACATCAACAGAAGCCCGCTATGAGTCCGAATAACGGCGTTAAAAAACCTGAAAGCCCAATGGGCAGGACCGGAAGACTTCGCAGTAGTTGTCTTATTTGGCCGTGCGGTACTAAGGGTTGTAGACGCGAGGCAATTCGGGGTGGTATGCACTGTGGTCCACACACACGAGCTGCCGTACAGCAGCGGCGAGAAAGATTAGAAGAGCTCAAGAGAGAAGAAGAGCTTAAGAGAGAAGAAGAGCTCGAAAGAGAAGAAGAGCTCAAGAGAAAAAGTGTATGTATCTCACATTCCTATACCTTAATCCCTAGTTCGTATTATTATGAAACGGTTGAAAAGACATTTCCTCCAACAAGCCTAGACCCTCCCTTCCGCAGATAGAAAAGGAATATTCGCTAACTTTCATCAGTGTACAACTTGTGGAGACAGACTGCCGCCTAACTATGAGCCCAAAGATTGCGAGGAGTGTACAGAAAAAGAGCGATTAAGGCAGGACCGGGCGACTCGGGGGGTCCTGAAACACAATAAAGCAATGGCTCGGAGACAAGCAAGAGCTGATGCCGTAAAAAGAGAGGTCAACACGCTGGAACAAGATGCCAGAAGGCAAGCTAACCAACAGAACACCACTGGTGATACTCGGGCAGTTACGAGGGAGATGGCTGTCCGTACCCAGAGCCCGGTACCTCAGCATCGTAATAATAACAACAACAACACTTACAGCAACCCCAGCCCCGGTTTCAGACACCAAGAGCACGAGAATATTCCCCTCCCCTCTATATTTCAATTTCCTACAAGTAACTGCAGAGACCAGCCAATGGTCTCTGCCAATAGACCTGCGTATAGACCTGTGTATAACCCTACATATAGCCCTGCGCAAGTTCCTGTATATAGCCCTATGTACAGCCCTGCGTATAGTCCTGCCTATGGCCCCGTATACAGCACTCCCCACAGCCCTATGTATAGTCCTGCGCCCAGCCCCGGATACATATATCCCGGACCCAGAAGCAACAGTCCCGCACCAACCCACAACCTGAACAGCAGCAATGGCGTCATCCCCATGGTAGAACACCCCACCGCGAACACTATGTCCGGCCCCATATACGTCTACCAAAGCACCGATACGCCTTCATTTGGATTCAGCAGACTCAACATGTGGGCCAGCCCCGTGCCTCCACCTCAGCAGAGCCAAAGAATGGTCGCCAACCCTCCTCTTGCCTACGACCCCCGTAACCCTCGTCGGTACACGTTCCCCGTATCTGGACACAGCAGGAATCAGGGTACGGTTGCAGGGCCTGTACCTGGTGTACCTCAACACCAACAATACGACAATACCGCCACCCGCGCGAGGATGTCGTTGTTATTTATTTGCAACTAGATCGCATTCCATGTAGTTATGTGTAGTGATAAGTACCTCAGGTAGGTAAAAAAACAATAGGACTGGCTCCAAAATACACCGCTAAACGGGGAGGAATATGACTGCGTATACTTTGTAAACATCGTAAATATAGAGTGATAAGAACGTTGGGTATCTCGAGAGTTGCTATTGCTAACTAATACGAGGTAGACCTTGTAGATATCAGAGTAGTTTCTGTATTTCTTACTAGACTTTAGACTTAAGTATCTAGGTGGGCTATGAAGACTAACGACTGTACATTATGACAACACCCTCTTTTCCTGGATGTCCTATCAAAAGGTTAACTGTATCTACATACAACATGTCTAGTAAGCGCGGCTCTTGTTAAAACTGCCAGTCGAAAGGAGAGGAAGTAAATCGTAATCTTCTGTATTCATTCAAATAAAATAGGCGCCAAAAGCAGCTAGGTACAAGTGCTTCTAATCACCAAACCTCGCCCCCACCTAATTTAATACCGCTTCCTCTCTTTGCCGCGCATATTCTGCCTCCAAAGACATATAACGCTCTTCGACTCGCACCACTTCTTCACATCAACAGGCGAAACCTCACCGTCGTACCCTGCTCCGTTTAACGCCCCAGCGTTTAGCCAAGCGGCGAGATCCTCTAAGATGATAGGGTCGTAGAGCAGCATCTTCTCGTACCAGGACGGTTGTGACGGATCCTGCGAGCGCGGTGCTGATGTCACCGCTTTGGTTATATGCCTGAATAGGCCGGCTTGTTGGTCTGTTGGTGACATTGTTAAGGAGAGATCAGTCTCGTCTGAGAGGGAGAGGTCCACTGCCGGTGGAGAGGAGAATATCCGGTCTCGTTCTGGAGATGATTCCCTCGAAGACGATGAGATGAATTCGTCCAAGTCGGAATCTGCGATCTCGACAGATTTTAGAGTATCCTTGTTTGAGCGCCCGCGAGGCTTCTTTGTGGTAGTTGCTTTTGGTGCCGCAGCTTTTGATGTTGAAGCTTCAGCTACTGAATTCTTTCTTGGACGGCCTCGTCTTTTCGGAGGATTTTCCGGTTGTGGAGCAGTAGTTGCCTGCTTCCTCTTGGGGGCAGATGAGCTGGACGAAGTAGATATAGAATTGGTGTGGACGATAGAAACTCCAGGATTCTTGCTAACCCAACATTGGTCTAGAAGAGCTATCATGGCTTGGCGTTTCTTCACCGGTTTAAAACCGTAAGATGCGATCTGCTTGGCAAGCTGTGAGTCGTTGAGAAGCTCAAAATCCGGACGTGGGTTGCTGGTTTCGGCTGTAAGCTCTATAGGCTCTTCACTATCAGTCTGGGGCGGCTGCGCGCTAGAAACAGCAAGATCGGAATTTTGTGGTGGGGTAATTATTGATTCCTCTATATCTGAGGACTTTAGGATATCATTGATATCAACAAATCCCTCGTCCGAATACTGCTGTCGTTCTTGAATCCGAGATAACGAAGGTAATGTTCTAACTAATTCAACATCATCAATCTTCATCAATTCACCATCCGTATCTCTTGAGCTTGCATGCCAGAGTCCTTGACTATCAGAATCGGCGAAAGGATCAGAATCGACTTGGTTCGAGGCTCGTATTGCCAATTGCAGATCTCGAAGAGTCGTAGGAGATTCTTCTCTAGCCAATTGGCTCGAAGTTCCAAAAACAAAGTCTTGGTTGGAGGATTGCTTCAATGCGGAGTTCGGAGACAATAGAATTGGATTATCCATTGTACCAGATTTCTTCTTGCGCTTAGGCTTTGCTGGCGCCTTGGTTTCTTTGGCTTTGCCTTTCTTTTGTGTCATAACAATCGTCTGTTGATCAACAAGCGCCTTGACAACACCATCCTCATCGAAATAGTTCAGTAAAGATTCCTTTGTAGCCAGGCCTGTAAGGTCGAGTTCAGGATTCATTAGTGGCATATAAGGCGCAGTCGCTAGTTCCGTGATCGTTCTAGTCTTCTTCTTCTTCGTGTTAACCACCTTAGCGGGGGATGTCTCTCTCGGACGCTGCCCGATATCAACACCAGTTGAAACGGGTTCGATCGACATCCGCTTCACTAGGGTACCTGATTGCTGTAATCGCTCCAATGTGGCAGATGACGTAGTATCCTTGCATCCATATCGGTCTAAGAGTGTATCGAATACGTCCTTTGACCGTGATCCTCGGTCAACTGACGAGTGCAATTCCCGGCTATCCGACTCGGACTCAAGTAGAATGGGGTCATTCGGGGGCGGAGGGGTCCAATCTCTTCGCCGTCTTAAAGCAGGTTCCGAGCAGTGAAGATCGTTTGTGATTTGGTCATCCAACTTCTGTGCTACTATGCCATTATCCGATTTCTCATCTGCCCGTTTCCCGACACCTTCCTTAGCGGGAAAGTGCTTAGAAACTGTATCCGTCTTCCCCTTTTGTTTACCTTTAGTCGTTTGCTTGGTGACACGAGCCTTCGTAATAGGCGGCTGTTCGCTCTGTGAAGTCGACTTCTTGCTCTTGAACTTCTGCCATGGTTTTTCTTGTGACGACTGAATTAAAATAGGCGTCTCTACAAGTGCATTGACGGATTCCGGTGTTGGTGTTCTCTTCTTGTTGGCCTTGTTAGCACGTGATTTTTGTGGTGGCGAATTGGTGATCTGTTCGGTCTCTATATCAATCTCAGGCGCTTCTCGCAATAAATCCGCAGCACTAGTAAATGTAGTACGCGCATCATCGGGTATTGGCGGTGTGTGGCTTGCACTCCGCAGCGAAGGCTTTTTAGGATTATTAGAGAATATCTCGTTTATTGGAGGCAAATCCGGAGAGGAGGACAAATCATAGGGGTTGACCCTTGTAGGGGGTGCGGGAGACGACAGAAAGACGTCGGCTGTTGACATGACGAATTGGAGTCGCAGGGATATCGGTATGCGCCAAGCGCAACCAATGAGTGAATTGATAGACAGGATGATAGGAAATTTCGTAGAATATCGTATCTGTCATAAAAGAAACATGTCACGTTTATACAACAATCGAAGAGGTTTGAATTAAGTGAAACCCGATAATAATGTTTATCTGTTGTAGGTTAGGTGAGTTTGGTAATTCGCCGTTACGCGTTAGTTACGGCAACACTAACAGAACCCATAAACAGTAAAACGCCAAGACTAACTACTGTTTAATTGCCACGAAATAGTCTCGAAACCACCTGACTTTAATTCACGTGATCAATACCCGAGCTTTGAGCCCCACCGCCCACCAAACAAGAATTTCGTATTTTCGAGGGGTCAAAATTTCCAAGTCGATTTATTTGCTTCACCCACGACACATCCACCCCCCTTGCGATATTCCACGACCGCACCAACCACAAAGCAAATTCTGATTACTACAGTCGACAAGCCGCAAAAATGGAAAACGACAAGGGAGAGATCGTGGACCTGTGAGAATACCCAATTGCTACATGTAATTTGTTTTGTTATCTTTGAAGGTCTTACTAACACCGATTGTTTTGTGCTTAGGTACGTCCCCCGAAAGTGCAGCGCCACCAACCGCATCATCAAGGCCAAGGACCACGCTTCCGTTCAGATCTCCATTGCCAAGGTCGATGAGAACGGCCGACAGATCCAGGGCGAGAACCACGTCTACGCTCTTTGCGGATTCGTTCGCGCCATGGGTGAGAGCGACGATGCTCTTAACAGACTCGCTCAACGGGATGGTCTCGTGAAGAACGTCTGGAGCGCAGTGCGATAAATTCCTTTATCATCTGGGTGGTTAGTTTTCAGCTGTCTGCTATCATCTCTACCTTGTCCCCTAACGAATCTATAGATAGGCATTGGTGTTCACGGGGAATTCATGACTGTATGGTCGGCATGGGATTGTTTTTGATGCTGCATCTAGCCGGTTAGATAAACCGCCATATCCACGTTTCGGAACGAATACAAACGATTCCCTTTCGCGCCTTAAATTCTCTTGATCCCAGTAATACGCTGCTAAATTCCATACGGCTGGCGAAGTCTTCTCGCGTCCACCTCCGAGTGATCCCATGGGCGAGGATTCTGGGGCTACCTCGATAGCCTCCGTGCCGAAGATTAACAATGGCCTTGAAAAAGCCGTAATGCTCGAGACGTCCATTACAGCACAGATACGGGTCAAACATATTTCCTTCCTCGTAACTTAAATCCGTCGTGTATCCGGCCTTCATCCGTTTCCCATGATGTCCCTGGACATATTTTAGATGGCGCATAGATTACCTTCCACCCAATATATTTGAAGAGTTCCCCTCTGATGTAGAGTAACGATAGATGACCTCCGGGTTTCTTTAGTTGCTATTACTTCAAATGTAGATCGTGTTCTATCTAAAATAAATTCTATTTGGTCCACGAACACCAGCTTTGAACATTTTTCATGCCAACTCCGTTGGAGTGTTATGATATGCCACTCCAATAGATGCAGTCAAGTATCGTCAACGTATCTAAGTCTCCGCAACACCAATCCAATGTCTTTCGCAATATATGGGCTGTATTGTCATTTATCATATTAGTCATATATTATTTCTTTGATATTATTTACGTCTCTACCCCCTTGTCGACTTACGGAAATATAATCATTTGTAACCGCAAATAGCCGATTACACGGGGAACCACATCCGTTCAGCAGCGGATCTACGCGCCATCTTATTATTTTAGCTAGATAATGTAAATATTTTATTCTAACAATCGGAATGGCTTTTAAATTTTTTTCTTCGCAACCCTCAAATCATAGCTCCTCTAGGTCCGTGCCGGTGCCGGATATTCTGAATACACAAGTTCTCTCTGATCAGAATCATGTCACGGCTCCTGTCCGCTACCTTAATAAAAGTTGGCGTTTACAAGAGATGACCACCCTTCCCTGACAGGTTTTACTGGACCTGTCAACTCATCATTTGCGCTTCCTATATTCATTGAACAATTAGTATATGTCCAATTTTCTACTACACCTAAAACCCAACATACCTTCATGAATTATCATCTTTACGTAATTGCTACCGCTGAAGAAATTAGTATCGCGACCATGCGGACTAGGCAGTATTGCATCGACGGTCTCAAACGATGCTTTATCTAAAACTGGCCAATTGCTTTTGATAGGCTTCGGACCGTTACCAATTACCTTGTCATCATTGGTTCCGGGTTTTACAGTGACGTGCACATATTGACTGCCGCGGAAGAAGTATGCCGTCTCGTCACTTAGAAGCACAGCAGTATCCACTGTGTTGAAGCCGACTTGCTTTAGCGAGGGCCAGAAGTCGATGATTTTCTTCGCGTCGAACACTTTCTGCCTGGTGGTGATGTTGACCAGTGTGTACCTATCGCGGAAAAAGAAGTACGCTTGATCGCTGTTCTTCGGGTGGGGAAGGATGGCGTCGATAGCTGGGAAATTTGCCTCGTATAGAGCTGGCCATGCGTCGATAATGCTCCGTACCCCTTCGGGTGCTATGGTGTCCTCTGGGTTATGGGCATCATCGAGTTTCAAGGTGACGAAGCGGGTATCAGCAAAGAAGATAGCTTCATTCTTGCTTGGAATAAACATGCATGCGCGCCGGATGTGCGAAGAAGGCAAGGTTAGCGATGCATCAGGGTCTTGTACTAGAGTATATCGACTCAGATTGCCGTTGTTTTCGTCCACGTCGTCCCGATTGTTGTCTGCGTTACTTTCTTGTTCCGCTTCACGACGTCGGCGAAGTTCATCGCGAATAGGTCCTGGAACCTGTTTATTATCGGCATCAGGGTCAAAGAAGCGGATATTATTAATATTTTCGGGAAGCTCTGGCAGCTCATAGGCTCGTGGGGCGTGATCACCGTTTAGGAGCGGGTTGAATTGGACATTATACCAAATACATTTCAGGTTACCATTTTCGTCATATTCAGTCGCAGAACGGATCAGCTGGGGCCTGATTCCTCCGATAAATATGATCTCCTGCTGTTCAGCGGAGCGGACCTCCCGCTGGCCTTTGAAGGTAGCAAGGATATCGACGCCCCCGTAGGCGAATATCTCATAGCGGTACCGGCCACTGATAACAGGTGGACGCCAGATTTCTGCGACTTCGCTTCCGTTGTCTGGGAGGACCGGCCTGGTAGTCGAAACGAAAATGGACCGAACGTGATTATCGATGAATACTCGCAGGTTGAGGTTGGTATCGTCCGTGTCATGAAAGTCGTTTATGTCCACCGGCGCGATACGGGGTAGAAACCCTTCGCGGAATATAACCTCCGGTGAACGGTGGTCCCAGCGAGAAAGGGGCTCAGCGGCTACCGAGATTTGGTGTCCGTTGGCGTCTTTGACCGTTAATGAGCGCATTATTAGTTCTCTCGGCCCATCAGGGGAGGCGAGCAAGTGATTCAGCCTGTCAAAAACTACTTGAGCTACATCTTCGGTGGCGTTCACAAGCCAAGGGAGAGCTGCTCCGATAAATAAAGATGCGTCGGACATATTTTTTAAGGCAGCTTTATGTCCCGAAGTTTGAAGTTATGGTAAGAGTTATGTAGCTGTTGTAGCTCTAAGAATTTTAGCAGCGTCTTCGTGAGGATAAAAGAGTACTATTTCGATGGTTGTTATCAAAGTAGAGGTAGTGGTCGAAGGTTAAATATTTTACATGGCGGAGAAGGGGCATATAAATACAAATTTATAGTTACCTAATCCCTCAAGGTAGCGATATAATACTCTTTGACCGGGTTCAAGTGCATAATCGAAGGCTATTCACCTGTTGTCAGACTGCTGGCTCCCCCGAAAGGGGTGCTATTCGGGTATGATGGAGCCTAACAAAATTCGATACTTTCCCGAGTAATCTATTTTATATTTTACGAAGTCTCGCAGCATTTAATATTGGACCCAATGACATATCAGTGAGATAATGGGTTAACTTGAATCACCGCATGGGAAGATATACTCGTAAAACTCGTTATATTCACTGTATATATGTTGTAGTTACAAGTTTATAATACTCCTATTCCTCCGATACACACCGGCTCCATACCTACCTATATTAAACCCCGCTCTTTTAATGAAACTTGACGATAAAACACTGGAATGACGCGGGTGGGCGCAGCCTGCGCCGTTCAATGAGCTACCTGTATAGATTTACTAAGATAATGCTAAAGAAAAGTTGTTAATTGATATTATTACCATTACTAACTAGGCATCTATTAAGTTTAACACAGGCTATTATGCTGCTACTGAGGTATATAGCCTCCAGTTCCTTTTAGGACTAATCCACCCTTGGAAAGACCCAAACTGCGGCCCCTATGAGGACATGTCATCCTAACGAAAACCTTCCCGACGAGCTTTCCACCCGGAAGTATTATGCTTGCGACGCCTGTTATCCCGACTCCCCATGGGGTAGCTTACCATTAAGAGGCTACATGCCTTCAGCCATCTGTGGTGTAACCTCGCCGTGAATTATCCCCTTTCTAGAATCAACTTTTTTGTCAACGTTTACCTAAGGGAAACTGCTTCAGAGGCGTCGCATACTGAATAACTCCGATCCGAAAAACGGTTCCTTGCCTTGGTACAGACGTGAACGCTGTCATTAGATCGCCGCCGGTTATAGGCTCTCCGATTGTGCCACAAGTCCGGGCGGGCAGTTGCATGACATCGGAAGCAATTACAAGGAGAAGCTTGATCTATCGGTTGATACATTCTATATCTGAAGTCATGATTGGTTGAGCTAGAACAGACCCAAAATTTAGAAGGAAGACATGTCAGGGCTGGCGTGTCTAGATAGCCCAGCGAGTATAAACATTATATTTGTTTATATTTGCTCAAAACCTTTCTTACTCATTATTTCAGTCCAGGTCTACAGTTTAGGTAGTCAGTAATTAAACGATAGGCCTTTAGATTCTATGATTCTCCGAGACTATTAAGAAAAGGGCTAGTTATGAGAAAGTCCCGGTTTTCTAGTAGGCCTAAATACTACACGTCATATTCGTCCCGGTCGTTTAATTATTCTTTCCTTCCATCTACATAGACTATTATCAAAGACTCCTTGATATCTGTTATATATAGACTGAATGTTTAGAAACAGTAGCTTTCCTGTTGTATAGTAACTATATAGAAGTATAAATCTATTAGCGCCTAACCTTCCAACCTCTTTCGAGGACTCTACGCACCCCTTATATACCTTTATGTTACGGAGCTAACTTTAGTAACTTAGATCATTGGGTTACATAGGTAGTCAGCTAAGCTACTATATTAAGGGATCTCTAAACTATAGGTAGGTAGCGAATATCACTTCTAGTTCTCTAATCAACACTCTATACGCTTAGATCTTGTGCACCTTAAAATGACTGATCGTATTTCTTCGTGAGTCTTTACTATATAGATCCATGCCTATTCTTGACTGGTTCTATTTATACCCTGACATATAATCTCCACCACCTTCCACTTTATGGGAATACACTCGAGAATTTGGGTTTCAGTGGTATTGCGGCATCATGGAAATAGATACTAGTTGGGAATCATGTCAGGACCAAAACTAATCCATGCTACCTGTTACATTCTGTACCCGATCCAATGCTCACGCGTCCTCACTTCGGTACCAGTAGCTTCGTGGGTTCGCTCGGTTCATAATATTCATTTGCCTGACCCCTTCTCTAATATTCTCTTCCTCAACGTCGCCTTCCAACGCGATGGGCGGCGCATCAGTCATCTCGACATCCATTGTGTCATCCATCGTGTTGGAAGGGCCCTTCGCATCGTCCTCTTCTTCATAGCCTCCCATAATTTCGTAAAGCTCGAACTCCGCTATGTTCCAAAGGCCTCTGATGTCTTTGTACATCTGGTCGATGCTCATCGCCGTGCTGCAGCGATTAAGTTCCCAAGACTTGTCTGATGTCTCGCGGTACACCATTCGCGCTGCTACTAGGCGTTCGCACAGCTCAATGAAAACAGACTCTCCGAGATTCTGGGCCCAGGGCACGGCTTTCTTGAGTGCGCTGAGAAATTCCAGAAGGCCGCCGTTTTGAGCGGTTAGATGGATCTTGATATCAGGATGTAACCCCAGCGCAAACATTTCTGCCACTGCAGCAAAAGTCAGTAACTAATTCAATACCTAAGTGCTAAGGGCGAGGAATATCTCTATTTACTAACATGCTTGATCAACAAGCTCGGCTGAACATGTTGCCGCTTTGCCTTTGCCAGTCGGGATAAGTCCTGTTTTCTCGAGTACCATCACAACACTCTCGTCTCTACGAGGCCGATGGAGAAGATATCCTGTACACGGATAATTCATCCCTAGCGCAGGAAGCACCCGTAATAAAGATTTGAATGGCTTTTTCTTGGGCTGTCTGCGTCGCCGAGGCATGGTGGTCGTGATAGAGCGATGCCTAAGGTTTGATATACCTATGGAGAAGAGTAAGAAGTTTTAATAGTGATAGTGTTATGATTGAATGTTATGGGTAAGACTTTAAACTTGGTAAAATTGAAGTTGGAGGGGTTGTATTTATGGTCATAAATTATTAGGTACGTAGGTACGTGGGGTCAATGACTTGAAAAAGTTGGCAACAGTATCCGGCCGCCAACTGCCTGTTGCCATATGATGACATTTTCGCTATTTGAAGGTAGGTGCAGAGTGCAGGTACTCAACTAAGGTACTAAAGGTTTCACTGTAGCAACCAAAGTTTGATTCATATGTGGGTGGAGCTAATGATATCATTGTCACAAGGTGAGGCTAAGAAGGTTGTAAACAGTTTCATTATTCTACAAGTGTAAGAGTACTAAATATTATTTACCTTAGGTAGCTATTACGATGCTACACCACCAAGTGTATATTATTATTAACTTAAGATATTGAACATACTATGTTACCTTTTAAAGACTTACCACACCGTGAAATATAGACTTATTAACCTTTTCTAACTAGTATAAATTCTAACTTTCTAATTATTGAGTTTTTTATATTTTGCTCTTGCTTCCAAGGCAGAAAATGTTACATAAAGCTATAAGAAATATGTACTAAATAGACAAATCTTTACTTATATTTGACAAAATATCCTAAGGGTTTACCTTAGCGTGGGATACGATCAATCGTACGAACGTGCTATATAGCTTCATTCAGTCTAGTTTTCTCAATTCTAGATAGCTACCAGGTAGCTATCTCCAACGAGGGAATTCGACCGTGTGTAGTGGGATCACTAGCACTAGACCATACTGAGTTTACCTGGCCTTGTCCAGTGTTATAAAAGGTTGGAGGCTCAACATGAATTTATTCTATAATAATGCTAAGCGCTCTTATCAATGTACCAGAAATAAGGTGACAAAATTGCGTCTTTGAGACGATGTCCTCTTTTTGCGTTTTAGGTGCAGGAAAATATAAGAGCGATGCTACTTATGTACAGGTTACAATTACAGGCCTTCCAGACAGATCACCTCACAGAGTAAGTGGAAGTAGCTAGTAACCAAAATTAATAATAAAATAGCATGAACGTATTCAATGAGGTAATCTGTCTGCAAGGACTAGCACGGCAATGTGGAAGTAGCATCGATCTTTAAAGCGATATGATTAGAATCAATCCTTCAATTAGATTGCAGGTTCTTGTGGAAGAGGGAGAAAAAGGAAAAAAAAAATACCCCAGAATCCCACAGTCCGAATCCCACAGTCCCCCAGAACCCACAATCCCCCGAATCCCACAGTCAGATCAATGAACAAGGCGGTCCCAATATTGCATCTACGTATAAATGCTAACTAACAGCAACAGGTACTCAATGATGACTAACAGCTATCAAATGATGATAGTAACGCAGCGAGTGGGGTTCGAACTGGGCCCCTGAAGTTGTGTGCCTACCACTTGGCCAAATGCCCCAGAGGAGCTGTTACCGGTGTGTGTGTTAAAACATATTATATGCTTTAATTCTTCCGCATTTTACCCTTCCCTATCTACAGGTGTTACATTATACACCTGTTAGATCAATGCGATGCACTGGAACTCCATGAGCTAATTATGCTTCTACCGTGGTACCTTCCCCTTTCGAATATACCTATGTACATACCTAAGGTATAACCTTCCATTTTTTATTATTGAGGATCGCTACAGCCAACCCTTCAGTGTCTATGTAGATTACCTATTGAACAAGTACCCTACATTTAGATTTCAATAGCAAATACATCTAAATACTTAACAACAGAATGCTACTACCAAAGTCTTAAACCTACATAATAGGTAGGTACTAACTTGAAATATTTACCAGGTACATACCTAAAATCTATTCCAATTATTTTGATTGATTTCCTAGTAGGCTTACGTTCCTACTATAATTAACTACGTTACTAAAAGTTCTTCTACATACATTTTCACCCCCAGACTCAGAAAACTTGTAGCTAAGATCACCCTCTGCATCATGCCACGCAACAATCGACTCACGTCATTTCTCCCTCGGGCAGGAATGATATATCCGACTACACACTACATTCTCAAGAAAAATATCAGAGATATCAGAGTTATGATAGCATTTGAAAGAGCAGGATTCGCCAAGCCAACCAAAGGACCGACGAGGGAGGCAATGAGGGCCGTTGATCAAGCATGTAAGCAAATATAGATGAATTTCCATATCCCTTACCTTTAATACTTATAGAATAGTTACTAACTCTTTCCGTCGCAGTGGCAGAAATGTTTGCCATTGCCGTAGAACCTGAAATCATCAATCACCTAACTGCCGAGGACGGAGGCTTACTGGACCTCCTAAGTGCGCTCAAAGAGGCCACTCCTTGGGCAAGAAGCCTCGGAGAGTCGGTATTCTTCCAGTTCTGTGAGTGCCTAGTTAAGGCACGAAAAGAATGGCAAGGGAATCCACGCCTTCCATTCGATCCCAGCCAACACAGCCAAACCGCACGCAGCATCGACAACTTTCTCAGAGAGATCGGTGACCGGTGGAATGATGTGGAGTTTGAGATTTACGAGCTGGTGGGAGGATGGGAAGAAGATGACGAGAATAATGAGAATGATTCTGGACCTTCTACCTCCAACAACGGTCTAACAAGCGGCGTGGATATCAATATGGGTGATCTAACTACCGCGCTGGAGGATGACATTGAGGAAGATAATATTAGAGAAGGGGTCAGGCGAATGGATATTAATGATGAGATGTAAATGGACGATTAATAGTACCGAAGCAAGAACGTGAGAATCGGGTATGGGGATGTAAAAAATAGCATGGATGTTAGTGGAGGCTATACGTAGCCTTTATATAATAACGGTCTCGTTCGTTGATCTTAATCATGGCCTTCCGGGAGGGGGGAGAGGGTTTCTTTATTTTCTTCTCGTATTAATTTTTTAAATTCCATCTATCTGGCTCGCTAGGAGGCGTGCTTTGACGCTGACATGGATCTGTACTCCAAGTTTCAAAAGCCTACTTCCAATCCGATATTGCTAAATTTAATCTAGGTACTATTCGATTTAGTTCATTATATAATTGAATCCTGGGAGTTGCATCATATTCAAATGATGGCGATATGTAAACAATAGCGATGTATAAATGACACATCTTCCAACGCATAAATTCGTGTCGAATTGCGTGGCCATTGTAGAACAAGTCATCATAATACGCGTAATTTAACCAAGTGTCAAGTTATTCAAAGTACAAGGACGTGTCGTTAATTTAAGATAATGAGGTTACATTTGCGGCTCATAGGGCTGAAGATCTCCACTGGCCAAGCCCATCATCCCGGTAATAAGATCGATTAACCCCATTAGATCGATCTGGGGTTTCGATGATGCATGATCGTATCGGGGACTATGAATCAAGCGAGAATTGTACTTAATTTTCTCTCTAAACTGTATTTGTAGTATCTCTACTCAAAATCTCTTCATTTTAATTTCATGTCTTTCCTCGTATTTTCTTGTGTAGCACGTCGAAAACCAATCGCGTCTGTCCTTCTATTACACTCGCTCCCGATCGTCTTATCATTACGTCATAAAATAAATATTAACAAACCCTGTTTGCTCCATTCAACCATGGCCCCCAAACGAAACGCCAAAGAAAGAACCACGAACGAGGATGAGATCCGAGAAAAACCAACGAAGAAACCTAAGCTTGGAAATGGCACTTCGGATCCACTACGCGAGCCTCATCATTTTGCGGCCGAAGCCGAGGAGCATGGCATCGTGCTGCGTAAATTCTACCCATCGGAAATGAACAATGCGCGTGCTCAAGCATATAATGATAATAAAATTTCTCGCCCCATTGAACAGCTCGAAGCTGCTTTGGAGGAAACGGCATCGATGCGGAAGAATACACAAGTGAAGGAGGCTGTGATACACTGGTTCAAAATGGATCTGCGGACCACAGACAATCGAGCCTTATGGGAAGCAAGTCAGAAGGCTCAAGAAGCTAATGTTCCTCTGATATGCATATATATAATAAGCCCCGAGGATTTCGAGGCACATCTGACAGCCCCCGTGCGCGTCGACTTTACGATACGTACTCTACATAAGCTGAGGCAAGACTTGGCAGTTCTAGATATTCCGCTTTATGTAGAAACCGTCACCAAGCGAAAAGAGATTCCCGAGCGCATTTTAGAGTTCATGGATGAATGGGGCGCAAGTCATCTATATGCAAATATAGAATATGAGGTCGATGAACTAAGGCGAGAAGCAAACATGGTAAGAAAATGTGCGGAAAGTGGACTAGCGATGGTACTCTTCCACGATACTTGCGTTGTTCCGCCCGGCTCGTTGCATACGGGTGCCGGGAAGCAGTATGCGGTATACTCGCCGTGGTTTAGGACATGGGTTGCGCATATCCATGAGAATCAAGAGCTTCTTAGCTTATTTGACCCTCCCGCGAAGAATTCTTCTGCCGCTCGTGAGAAAGTAGCTGCTCTGTTTGATAGCGAGATACCAGATGTTCCAGAAAACAAGCAACTTTCGGACGAAGACGCGAAGAGGTTTCATGCTACTTGGCCAGCCGGCGAACGTGAAGCCATGGATAGGCTTGAGAAGTTCTGCGACGAGAAAATCGGAGAGTATGGCAAGAGGCGCAATTTTCCCTCCGAGGCGGCGACATCGTCGATTTCGGTGCACTTGGCAGCCGGGACGCTGAGTGCAAGGACGGCGGTGCGCACGGCGAGAGATAGGAATAAAACGAAGAAATTGGACGCAGGCGTTGAAGGCATCCAATCCTGGATCAGCGAGGTAGCATGGAGAGACTTCTACAAACACGTCTTGGTCCACTGGCCTTATATCTGGTAAGCTTCGAGCATTTACCGCGTTACTAAACAAGAATACTGCGCTGAACATAATACAACAGCATGAACAAACCGTTCAAACCGGAATACTCCAACATCGAATGGTCCTACAACTCAGCACACTTCGAAGCCTGGTGCACGGGACGCACGGGCTTCCCAATCGTCGACGCAGCGATGCGGCAAATCCAAGGCCTAGGCTGGATGCACAACCGCTGCCGGATGATCGTCGCCTCGTTCCTATGCAAAGACCTACTTCTAGACTGGCGCATGGGCGAGCGGTTCTTCATGGAGAAGCTGATCGACGGGGACTTCGCGTCGAACAACGGCGGGTGGGGGTTCAGCGCCTCCGTCGGCGTCGACCCGCAGCCGTATTTCCGCATCTTCAACCCGCTGCTGCAGAGCGAGAAGTTCGACCCCGACGGCACGTATATTCGGAAATGGATCCCGGAGCTTAGGGCCGTGAAGGGCAAGGCTGTACATGATCCGTATAATAGGGGCGCTGCGGCGGAGGCTAGGAAGGCGGGATACCCCGAGCAGATTGTTGATCATCGGAAGAGTCGCGATCGCGCGTTGACGGCGTATAAGGTTGGTATTGGGCGAGACAAGCCCTGATTGTGCTTTTGGTTAAGCTTACCTGATCTACTCAGGTATCTTTCGTGGAGATATTTGGAACCAACTAATTTTTCAGGAGGGAAGGATTCCTTGCTAGCTGGTATTGCAGTGTTTATACACTACTGGCTGGTATTTTTTTTTAGAGTTATCGAAGCGAGGTTGGGATATAGATTATTTAATTATAGAATATAGTATGGATTAAAAATATGGGTTTAATATATCTGTGCTAACACTTAAACTAATCGCCTTCTATCATTACATCTGGTTGACCGCTGATCTGTTGATCAGTACCCTACCCTATTAATCGAAGCAGTGGATTCAGGGACCTTTTCACTGCTTACAAGTTCGGCTGTCTAGACCTCCCATAAAAAGCTGCTGTTATGTGAAATAGCTTCATTATTATAGCATTAAATTCAACACATCAGCGCTATACTCGCCTCATTGAGCAAACCCGGTATAACTCATCATGTCCTACCCCCGTCACGAAGCAGAGCTCGACAGGCGCTCTCTTAGGACCTGTCTGCATATCTTCCAGCATCCATCCGACATTCCATTCCTTTTTAGGTCTTCCTGGCGCGAAACGCGGGATTACTACGCAGCGCGAGACGTTCTTGATCTTGAGAGGGAAGAACTGATACAGATCATTTCTTACTCGAGGACGATGGCTATAAAGATGTCTGGAATGGCTCTATTTTTGGGTCTCCTTATCGTCCTTCCTGTATCGCGGTCTTGCAGAGTTGGGTAATACATACGATATTCATCGATATCGGAGCAATAATAGTCGGCCTCACCGGTTATATGAGTGAGTCTAGCTACATATTGACTGAAGGTCGAGTAATTCGTTATCTTAGGTACCTTCATACCTTGGTAGAAAGTGGTCAAGCACCAAAACGTCTGCTTACATCTCTATACACTTATTCACCCACTTATTAGTCACTATTGTATGGAGTATTAGATAGAATATCCCTTCTAGTTTATATCATTCCCACAACAAATTTGCCAACGGGAGTTCTTGGTACCTAAGGTTCCGGCTACGAGTTTAGGATTTTACTTCTCAGAAAAACATCTTCACTCATAATCTCCTATCCATATTCCGTCATCCTCGTCCATCATAGACCAGAGATCTCTTGGACTAAGCCCCATAGAGAGTTTGGTGTAAAATTCGCAAAGCAACGCGTCCAAGGAGACCTTAAAGTGCCCCTGGTAGCCTCCCTCTTGACTGAAGTCAGTGACGTCGACTACCGTAACATAGGAGGTCTGATGGTCTTCGGTTTCATCTCTTAATACCAAGTCCACAGTCCTTGCGTCAATCATGAGCAGGATACTGAGTTCAAACCCGGCAGCGACACCCCCCATCGACTTAGCTATGTGAAAATGCCTAAGTTCGGTTTTAGTATAGTTAAGCAAGGGCTCATATCGAAATACTTACTTTCTAGCCTCTTCAGCACTCACGCCTTCGAGCCGCGGGTCTTCGATCGTCTTGAATTCGAGAGCTTCTTTAACCTTTTCAAGACCTTCACCCGTCTCCTCATCAAGCTGTTTGTCGCAAATTGCGCTGAGTCTCTCCTGAAACTTCTCCCAACGGCTCTCGGAGTCATAATAAGTCCGTACGATGACGAAGCCCCATGGGGGAAATCCTGCCCGTTGAAGTGTTTGGACTAGTGGCGATGGAGCTAGTTGTACTGCCTGAGGGGAAGCTATGTGAGGCGACAATTTCATATTTGCCTGGTTTCGAGCTTCCATATATTTTGTGAGGTCCTAGCCAACCATGTAAGCAGGGGAGATTGATAATGTTAGCGTAACAGGAACAAACCTGGTTCGAGAGCTGCGATAACATTTCGAAGGTGGGGAATATCGCCTGTTCGTCGGACCAACCTGTCGGTATATACGATGGAGGCTCAGTAGGCAATTTTCCCTGTTTGTGTGCTCCCCGAATGCTATCGGCCGTCTTTCCTGCAGCCCATAGTCGTTGTTCCTAATTAGAGAAGCACCTAACTTAGTATGGCATATCCTTTAAGAAATAGGTGTCTAGAAGTTTAATTTGAAGCAAGACGAACATCTTCGGATAATTTCGTGACGAAGTCCAAACTAAGACCTCGTGCTTGGTTCACAGTCAATCCAGGCGGTATATATGACGGGGGTGTAGGAGGTCGCTCATTGGCTTCTTGGAGAGCTTTATTAAGATCACTCAACTTAGTGTATTCTTGTGAGAAGGGAAATCTTCGAATTCTATCTTTTAAATGTTTGCGTTCCTTCTTATGGGATTAGCGAACATGTCAGGAATAGTGGATCGGGTTTGTCGAACATCTTCTGAGACTTGGCTAAAATCTTGAACAGTGAGATTTAAAAACCGTTCGCTGTTCCAACCTGATGGAAATGAGATGCGTGCCCATGCTGGGCGGTTATCCTCAGGTTGCGACTCTGACATATCGCTTTTGTACTAAGACTTGGATACAGTCTTATGATACTCACAATTCAATAGGTTAAGTATAAAAGAGGAGGATGTATAGTCTTGGCGAGGAATATCTAGCTTCAATGTAACAACGCGTATTACCTCATTGGACCTCGGCATTACACGCTCTACGTGGTTAACAAGGATTGATGTCACTCCCACTTACGCCAACTTACGCATAATCTTGAATAATAACGAAATGTTATTCTTGTCATCATATTCGTCTCGACTATCAAAGAAGATAATAAGTACAACACACGAAACGCACTTTGTTTTGACTACGCATTTTCACCAATCAGTCGGGACCCGCCGACTCATCTCATATTATTCAATCCAAACTATAGGTGGTATATCAAATCGAACAGCGGGGAAACTTGGAGGAGCTCGGTTCAATTATAAACAATTGAATAGGCGGCAAACATTACATGTAAACCTTTCCATAATGCCGAAGAGGAATAACTCATCAACACCACCAAAAGAGAAGACATTAGCAGAAGCACGGCCGAGCGCAAGCGTCATTCTCATATCTCCAGAAAATCAGGTCTTATTATTACACAGAGTGAAGTCGTCCTCGGCATTCCCTTCGGCTCATGTATTCCCGGGTGGGAATATTTCCGAGTTCCACGATGGAACTGTACCAGACCCAAGTGATCTCAAGCGACACGAGGACTCGCTCACATACCGGTTAGGTGCAATCCGGGAGACGTTCGAGGAGAGTGGAATCTTGCTTGCCCGTGAAGGGGGTAAAGAGGGGAAACCCCTAAACGTCCCTGTTACTCAGCGCGACAGTGCGCGTAAAGAGATTTACGAGAACAAAGTCCGTTTCGTTGAGTGGCTTGAGAGTGTGGGCGGGCTTGCAGATACTGGTAGGTAATAACATGTGATATTCATCACGCTCTGCATTTATTCAGAACACTAAACGGATTGTTAGAGAATCTTTTGCCTTTCACTAGATGGATAACTCCCCTTGGACAGCCTCGGCGATTCACTACGCAGATGTATCTTTACATGCTTCCGCTATCGACTAGCAACGATCCCGCTGTATCCGCGGCACGATCCGAGGCTATAATCCCCACACCTGACGGGGGTGTTGAAATCACTGCGGCACGTTTTGATGATGCCAACACGTGGCTAAGGAAGCAGCAAACGGGTGAGATCGTACTCTTCCCGCCCCAATGCTTCCTACTATATATCATCTCCCAGTTCTTAGTCGGACCACCCTCTAGTTCGCCAAGTACATCTGAATTGGTAGAGAACTACCACGCGCAGAGAGAAAAGTTGAGAAGCTTCCTCACGACGGTGCCGACTACGAGTGACCCGAAAGCTGCGAAACACCCCACAGCTCAGATTTCTTGGGCGGATAAAGTGATTAGCCCTACAACACTGGGTCTACGGAAAAGTGACAGAAAGTCAATCCTAGGACTTGATAAGCCTGGCCCGGAACTCAAAGGCAGTAGTAGGGGTGGTGACTGGGAGAGAGTTGTGTTAACTAGATTTGTAAAGGGAACAGCTAAGGAGGTTGAAATAAGGGGCAGAGAAGAAGTGCTGGAAGAAGAAAGACAGGCCGAAAAAGAAGCTAGACAGACGAAATTATGAGCCCCGAGTCAAGACTAGGCATGTTTACGCGGTATGGTCATGACCTTGTGTTTCCGACTTAGAAGAAATGACTATATAGTGATTGTATCTATTCACTGATATATGTAAGTGAGTTTCCTCTCTCCTGAAAGTTCTGCTTATGACTATCATTAAGTCAAGGAACGATCTAGAATGTATCATCCGATGTCCAGATATCCTAAGCAATGATACATGTCCTGACGAGGCATTGAACGCAACTTAATTATCTACCAATCACGACTACTGAAACGACGCACGAGAAGTAGTGAATGCTCATTATATCACATACAAAGGGAAGTCATTGTTACAGCTTGCGTCACTACACAAGTGTCCGTAAAGCTAGTCCGAACAAGACATTGTACGTTCCAGACCACTATTAAGACTTATATAAACCACCCCAAAGAGGCACACCCTAGCCTTCAACCCATCCCGATAATCAACTTAATTCTTCCAACGAGAAACCCTCACGATTACAATCATGAAATCCATCACTGCTATCCTATCTCTCTGCCTCTGGCAAATAGCCAGCGCAAAACCCGTCATGCCGCCCAACTCAACAACCATGTATCCCCGAGAGCCGCTCCCCAGATACCCCATCGCACCTCTCGCCCACCTGCCCAACACCGCGGAAAACATCCAAGCGGCAACCCGCAAGGCGCGCGCCGGGGGATACGTCAACACCACAGCCGACGAAAAACGAACAGTCCACAACTACACCCTCGCAGGCGCGCACTTCCCCACTCGCGACGCCAGCCTCAAGTCCACGTGCAAGCAGAACAGCACCAGCTTCGTCGACACCACGGCCGCCGGGTCCCCGCCCACCGCGCACTGCGCCGCCCTCATCGACCAGATGCTGCGCGACAACGGCAACCAGACGTGCGTGACGTTCGGGCTCGCGCCGAACAACAACACGGCGCACAGCAGCACGACCACGAATCTGATCGCGGCGTCTGGGAAGTGCGCGTTCAGCGTGACGGTGGATACGGCGGCGGTGGCGAGTACGTTTATCGGGATCGGGGACGTGGTGTTTGCTGTTCAGGAGTCTATTCGGCGGTTTTCTAGGGGGTATGGTCATGGCAATGGGAATGGGACTATGGGAGTTAATGCTGCTGTTGATGATTGTGGGGAGAAGGCTACGAGTGCCCCGGTCAATGGGACTGCCGATGCGAGGGTTGGCGGTGCGGGAGCGTTTGAGTGTGGTGCGAGTGGTACGACGGGTGGGAAGTTTGTGAATTGGGCGCTGGTTCATACTTGAAGTTATTTGAGGATGGGATGGGAAGGGGTAAAGGAATATAGCTACGGTATGATTTACCAGGTCATCTTCGCAATAGTTGGTACTGGACTAAATAGGACTTTTACCCAAATAAATTAGCTTTCACTTTTTTATAACAATGGACTATTGAATGAATTATTAATTGCTATGAATAATTTAGAATCTACTGAAAACTATATTATATAGCTTAATGTCTTATATCATTGTAAAAAGTATTCTAAACAAACCTCTGGCGACTAAGCCCTTCGTAGCCCCTATTCTATAAAAGGGGGACATACCGTAAGCTAGATCATGAACACTGTATATATACACTGTCCGCCGATAACCGTCACCGGCAGCCTGCCAACCTGCATCACAAGGGTCCGCTTTCATAGGTACATAGCAAACGTAGACCTCAAAGATCACTCAACAGCAACAATAAGTAAAAATCCATTTCAATAATTACTCATTATGGCTACAACATCTCCCCCTTACCATCCCCGTGTCGGCGTAGCAGCCTTGATCCGCGACTCGCAAGGCCGATTTATTATGGGGAAGCGGAAAGCTAGCCACGGCGCGGGTATGTATCTACACGCCGCCCCTCAGCCTTAACTCTTACAACATAGGGTTATAGAAAATAGTCAAGGCTAAATAATGCAAATAGGTACTTGGCAGTTCCCCGGCGGCCACTTGGAGATGGGGGAATCGCTACTAGAGTGCGCGGAACGCGAGACGCTAGAAGAGACGGGGCTCCGGGTTAAAGCCCTGCGTGTCGCGGCTACGACGAACTCGGTGTTCGACCCGGAGACTAAGCACTACGTCACGGTGTTTGTGGAGTGTCGGAGGGAGAACGAGGATGATCAACCGGATGTGAGTAGCTGCTTTATTTTCTATTTGTCATCGACCTTTTACTTCGATAGCTAGGTAGTCTGTTTCTATACTATATGAAAGCTAACGATAGGACGGTAGCTCCTGGAACCGGACAAGTGCGCGAATTGGGACTGGATTAGTTGGGACCAGGTGCAGCAATGGTCTGAGCATCATGATGACAATGTTACTCCGGAATGGGCGCAGAATAAGTGTTTCATGCCTATCATAGCGCTGGTAAACGATTATCCGAACTTCGCTTCTTCTAAAGCATGAGGCGAGACCGAGTAGGAGAGAGTGATATTAACGCGGCCGGGAAACAATGAGTCCTCGGGGGAATATCCCATATAGCTGGTAGTCTTAATGTTTCTATCAATTCTTGCGTTAATATGCCGGGCACTTATACCTTCTATTTTTACGTAGAGAACAAGGTGCGCTACTCTACTCTGGCTAATACTATAGTGTACTCTCTATCGCCGCCAGCTCAGCCATCTGAGCTTCAATATTCTTCTTAGCCGCATCAGTAGGCTCTATGTAAGGCCGCCTCGGCTTCAACTTCTCCACCGCGCCCTCAATGCCAGCTGCCTTTGCCGTATGAATCGCCGCGGCGTATTTCGTCGCAGCAATGCCAGCCTTGCAGGGCTGCTCTGCCAATGCTGCCTTTTGATGTAAGGCCAGCGCCTCCTGATACTTCCCTTCCTTGAACAGCTTGTAGATCTGCACAATGGCTTTCGGGAAGACGTTGCCGAACGCGGCGATGCATCCCGCGGAGCCGACGCTAAGACCTCCGATTAGGAAATCTGATTGTCCCCCGAAAGTTGCAAACCGTTCCGAGGGTAATTCGGCAGCGAGACGTGTGATCTTGGCCACGGAGCCGCAGGTCAGCTTCACGCCGACAATGTTGCTATGGGTGTTCGCTAGCTTCGCGATAGTAGCCGAGTCTAAGTCCACGCCGTTGCAGACTCCGGGAAAGTTATACACTACTACGGGGAGAGGGCTCTTGGTAGCGATTTCGGCATAGAAATTGTCGATCACGGCCGGAGTAGTCGCCTTGCCGAAGTAGGCCGGCGGTAAGACAAGTACGTAGTTGGCCCCGGCTTCTGCCGCATCGGTGATGAATTCCAACACTTGGCGCGTGGAATGTCCACCGCAGCCCGCCATAATAGGGTAAGATGGCCCACATGCCTTACGGGCCGTTTCGAGCAGCGTCTTTCGTTCCTCGCGGGTGAGAAGAAAAGTCTCGGCATTAGTTCCTAAGATGACTAGACCAGCGAGGCCGGTCTTGGAAAGATATGAATAGTATGTTGCTTGAGACTCCGTGTCTAGATTATCGGTTTCGGGGTCAAAGAAAGTTACAGCCGGCGTCCAGATGCCGCTGGGAGGAACTTTGGGGAATGACATTGTAAATAAAATGTTTATAATATATTTATGCTCTACGCCAATTTTAGTATACTTGTAAGTTGAACGATTCTAGTAGCACCTAAATAATATACTAGGTTAGGTGAGGAACGCGGGGCCATCTGTTACGCTCGTTCGGTGCATCTAAGCCGATCTATTGCAACCCTTGGCATTCCGCTGTCGGCATAAGTATAGGCTGGACCCTGACCCAACCCGGGACTGAATAGTAGCACTCGCGCCAAGTATCCACTATATTGTAAAGCGTTGGAAATATACCTTCTATGAAGGGTATAGTCGGCTTAAGTAAATTGAAGCTATATTCAAAAGCATTGTATAATCTAGTAAATCTATCTTAACCAACAGTTGAATAGATATGAAATTATGGATTGATGTGGCTTATGCTATTATCTTAATGTTTTGTATATATTTAAACCTTAATGGTAGGTAGTCATCGTTATAAAATGGGCCATAAAGAGGTTCTTAAATCCTATAGGATAGTGAATGTATGTTTTATAATGAAAAGATATCAGTAATGTTATTTTTTTTCTGTTGGGTTGCAGATTGCAGGTGTGGAAGATCACATTTGATAATCAGTAAACGGACCGGAACGGTAGGAAAATAATCGGGTAATAATCGGCAGACCCTTGCATAAACACTTACCTAAAATTGCTACTATTGGTCACCTGCGTATGCACAATTGATGCACCGCGAATGAATGCGCCTAGAAGGTACAGCGCGTTGCGGTTGCGTTGCGTTGCGTGCATTCCCTCGAGTCAAGTACATCTTGAATGCTTACGTCAATTTAACGATGAGTTCGCCTTGTACCCGTTACACAACCAAAGCTTCTTAGAAACACAAAACTACGATCGATAATTTGTCGCAATAGAGTCCATCGAAAATAGCGATATACCTAAATTGCTCATGGGCTAATAAGATTCGCCACGGACTTCTCGAGAAGAGAATCATGTCGCTACTGACTTGTATATCTCCAGCGGCCAAGTACTGCCATCGGTATCAATGATATGTATAACCAACACAAGATAATGAGGAGATTACTTGGTCGCCAGAATACCGAATCCTCTAGCGATGGCAACCTCGGTGTCACTAGCTCTCCGGTCCCTCAATCTTACCGACCTAATGCCTCCCAAGACGCAGTATATTCCTCCTCCGTACCCGTAGCTTGTCTCGATAGATCCGCCGATGGTCAACATGCCGTGCTAGGTGGTCGCCATATCCTCAAGACAATTCATTTCGATGGTCTTCAAGTTAAGGAGGGTATTGATATCCGTTCCATTATTACCGCGCAATATGCAAACAAGAGCAATGCAAGTTTGGCCTCGGATCAGCTTTCAATTAAAGACGTCAAGTTAGCCTCCAACCATGGCAATGATCTCACAGTTTTTACTGCCTGCGCCAACGGGAAGATATTTATGTATGATATTAGTCGGTTGGGCTCGGGTGCTGGTTTTGAACCCATTCAAATCAGAGAAGATTCGCGACAGGTGAACACCCTCGATTTTAACCCTCATTGGGGAACCTGGCTGTTATCCGGAGGTCAGGATGGTACGGTGCGCTGTTTTGACGTGAAAGCGCCCATACCTTCGCGTAGTGGCCCAACATTTCGGACAATACAGGGTTTCAAATGTAATGCTGATGGTATTAGCGACGTGAAGTGGTCGCCTAAAGACGGCATGATCTTCGCCTGTGCTACGGATTCCGGTGTCATTTTGAAATGGGACTTTCGGAAATATTCTGCGCCTTTATTAAAGATTAATGCCCACGATACTCAAAAGGGAGCGTCCTCCATCTCGTGGCATGCAGATGGAGATCATTTGATAAGCGCGGGTTTGGATAGCAAGTGTCACGTCTGGGACCTGTCCAAGAATGCTGAGAAAAGGCAAAAGCCCAAGTGGACAATAAATGCCCCGGCTCCCGTCACGAACGTGGCGTGGCGACCGGGTCTCTGGTCTGCTACTGCGCAAGGGCGTCGAGCTGCCCAGGTCGCGGTATCTTACGACGAAGGCGGACACGTTAAGAAGAATGGTATTAGTTCTGTGCATATTTGGGATCTGGCACGCCCGACAATGCCGTATAAGGAAATAGATATATTTGAGAACTCGCCTAGTGCTCTGCTTTGGCACGATCAGGATCTGCTTTGGACAGCAGGACCCGATGGGTTCGCTCAGTGCGACGTTGCATTCGCTCCTAAGGTAATAGACCGCCAACCACTCTCAAACGTCGCTTTCTCCGCTAGAGGAGAGGCGCTTATGTTTCTGGAGGAGAGAGTACATTTACCTCGGCCACGCCCAGCAGTAATTTCGCATCAGGGATTGCCTATATCGTCGTACAGCTCTAGTCCTACTGGGCAGGTGCTCAGCATTAGTCGTAGTGACTCGGAAGAAGATGTAATCGGCAGCTTTCTCGGCACGAGACGGAATGCGACCGAAAAGCGCCGAGGGAAGAATAAAGTAGCTAATACTCTAAGTACAACACCTCCATCTGGTTCTGGTGTGGAGGACCAAGTCATCCCATTAGACCAAGCGATGAAGATAACGGGTTCATTCAAGCCACACCAAATCATGGCAATTGGCCAAATACCTGCAGCCCCCAAAATGCACGTGTATAGTTATCTATCTCGGCAGTACCTTGAGATTCTCAAACAAGATCTTCCATATACCGAAGGGGATCGGCCCTTGAACGAAAGGGTTGCTGGAATCATCGAGAGATATGCACGAGCTTCCGAGAGTATCAGTCAATTTCGACTCGCACAGACCTGGAGAATATTATCTTACGCCATCGGCCTTCTCCTGACCCGCAGGTCTCAATACCACTTAAAACAGCGCCAAGTGCGCCGTGAAAGGTCATTGCTGGAAGCCGATAAAGACACCTCGGATATTAAGTTGGCGTTCTCGAAGGAGGATGCATCCCCACGAATAAGAGTCGACGGGGAAGACACTCCGAGAAAGCCACCGTCCGTGTCATCTCTCGAGAGTCGTCACCCCCTAGGGAAGTCGTTACTCACCGAGGAGATAGATAGCGAATCGAATGTCCCGACGCCCTTAGCCCGGCCTGTTAAAGAAAATGTTAGCGATAATCACGAATATGTTGCGGGGAGGCTGTTGACCCCTGTCTTAGAAATGGACGGCTTCAACCTACCTCCTTCTATCCTTCCAGAGGGTTCCGGTCCGCGGAAGAGACTCAATTCTACTACTCTTTCGACCTTAAGCCAGGATAGCCAGATGTCTAGCACGGAAGGATACGATTTCTACGATATAGACGCCATCGAGCATATTCCAAGGGCGATTGATGTTCCGAAAAAGAGGGAGCCACTAAGTCTTGACTGCGCAGAACCATCATCACCAAATGCACAAAGAAGGCCCATTAGACACAATTCGGATGAGAGCTATACGCAATTGTTTTCGTTGTCGGATACTAGTAGACAAACATCGGTTCTTACAGGTTCATCCAATAGTAGTGCGCGTATCTCTCGGAGAACGGAACAAATGAGCGGGAGCTTGGGAGAGGCAGATGAGGAATATGGAAGCAGAATCAGAGGTAAACGGATAGAGGGGTCTCCTGAAAGCATGAGATATCCAACACAACATTCGATAGACAGGCATGATTCTGGCCTCACGGATGACTTTAAAATATCGCAGACAACTACAGACACCATGGATAGCGATCCGTCCCCAGAAATCAATAGTAAACCCTCGAAATATGCAACTAGACTAGTCTTAGAAACAAGGCTTGCTCGGGAACGTTCTATGATAGAGCAGCCCGAGGACCACCCATCACCTCATGTCACCGAGACCGACTTCCTCCCATGGCCAGGTGATCCCTCCTATCCACATCCAATCGCAGACGAGGTAAACTCGAAACTACCTATCCCGCCGATTAACCCATACGATGTCCTATCGCGTGCTCTAGCCTTCGAGTCGAGACATTCCGCTCTTAACGCATCCGCTATGATTCTCCTCTTGAAACCTCTGGTACCCGACGATGTCATCGATTGCCACCAAGCTGCCGCTATTCTAAGACAGTATCACAAACGCCTAATGGGCATGAAGCTATTCGTCGAAGCCACACTTCTACGCAACCTTTGTGTTCAGGGGTGGCCTGATGGTCTTCCGACGTGGGGTGAAAACTATACTTCCGTCTTCACTCCAGCACAAGATCGTGTTTCAGCTACATTCATATGCCCACAATGCCATAAGCCGCGTGAAATCGACCGTTCTAATACAGCCGGTCCTGGTATATGGAAATGTGAGCGTTGTCGTACCGTAATGGCGCCCTGCGCAGTCTGCGGACATCGAGATGCAACAGCCGACGCGCTTCCACCAGTAACGGTTTCGGAAGGCTTAATAACAATTCCATCTCACCCGTCCGATGAGCCTATACTCTCGACATGGTGGTATTGCCCCGGCTGCTCTCACGGCGGTCACGCAAACTGCCTACAGGACTGGCACGCACCAATCCTGCCGAAGGAAATATCCTCCCCCGCCTCTTCCCACCCGTTCGACAATGCCTTCCCAGAAACAAACAGCGACGGCTGCTGCCCCTTCGACGGCTGCGGGCACGCCTGTCTCCCAGGCCGCTGGCGTAACGAAAGCAGCGCCGCCCGCACCGAAGAACTAGGCCGTGTCGTGCGCGAACAAACTCGGAACTCTATCAGCGTCGGCTCTGGCACTGGCCTCAAACGCGGCGGCACCAAGGAGAGAAAAGGTAGCACCGCCAACGCTTCGAATACACCCTCCAACGCTATTCGTGGTGACGCTATCGAGGTCCCGCAGAGCAGAGCGGTAGAGAGTGTGCGGGAGGCGCTGTCTACGCTTGAGGTTGTCGGTGCTAATGGGGGCGGAGGCAGTGGGAGCGGTGGAAGTAATGGCGGGATCTTTGCAGGGATCCTTAGTTCTAGCCCCGGACGCGCTAGTTTGGTTGGAAGCGGGAGCGGGAGCGGTCCGGAACGAAGGAAGAGTGTTAAATTTGCGGGACCGCCGGAGGCGGGGCGGTGATGTGGATTAAGATTAGGGGGGATGTTTGTGTGGTTGGTGTGTATATATATGTAAGTACCTAAGGTATGTATGTATGTGTCTATGGGGGGATAGTAGTTGGTGGAAGTGGTATGGTTGTTGGTTGCATTGATACGGCATAGCATTTGCATTAGGGGGGGATGGTTAGTGGTAGCATGAGTGGGAGATCCGTGGTTCATTTTATACCCCGGAGAAGTAAGAGAGTGGATGGAAGAGTGCCAGCTTAGGTGTCTACAAAGTTTATCGGGGTACCTAAGGCAATGTATGAATCGAATAAGACGGGCTAGTTGTATTAATGATACGTTCACTTCACATGCTTTTACAATACACAAGCGAGACGAGCCATTGGAATGTACGGCTGTAATACAAAGCTTCGCCCTTGAGGGTTATATACATTACTACGCCTAAATTATCTCTTCTACCTTACTCCTATTCATTGCATTTCGACTTTTCGACTTTTCAAGGGGTATCTAACTTTTTCTCTCCTCTCCTCTCTTCATATCGTCTCTTCACACCTCACTTCAAACTCTCACTATTAAGCATGCGCACCAATATTCTCCCTCATCCCCTTCGTCCGCAAACTCAGCTTCGCACTCTCATCAAACGGCAATCCAATAGCGCTACTTCCCGAGGGTATCCCATTTCCATCCACGCTACTACTACTTTCCTCCCTACTAGTCACTCTCCCCATCAACTGCTCCCTTTGCTTCGCGCCCCCTAATGCCTCGCTATCCGCGCTTCCGGGGCGACTACCAGCTGTGCTGACACTAGCACCGTCATCTGCCGTCAGTCTTCCCCCCTTTGTCTTCATCCGTCCCGCCCATAGTCCCCGTACCCCGCCGCGTTTCCGCTCAGGCACCTCGTCGCGGCCCGCGCTGCACACGTAGAGTAGGTACTTTAGGTTCGGCAGCGTGTGTCGTATATCCACGACTTTTAACCCAGCCGCCACGCATAGGGCCTCGACGTCTTTGTTGAGTAGAAACCACGCGTAGTCGAAGCGGTATTGGGCGGTTGCGCCGCCGCGCAGGAATAACGGAAACTCGCGCTGGGAGTCGGGGAGTAACGAGATGTCATCGCGGATGCTGCTGCGGGAGCCGAAGGGGGATATTTTGTACGGTAATGGGACGGATAGGTAGAATTGCAACAGGTGTGTTAGGTGCGCTACGTACCCTAGCGCCGCGGATAGGGAGTCTTCCATCGAGGAGGATGAGGTTGGGTCGTAGTCTGTGTTAGGCAGCGCGGCGCCACATATGCTGAAGGAAAGGGGCGCACCGGAGGGGACGGGGACGATGGGGAAGATCCGGGCTAGGTCCTCGCATATACGCCGGCGTTGGCCGTGGATGCTCTCTCGCGTAGAAGATAGGAGAGCGAGAGAGGCGGGGAGTTTAGCCTGTGCATGCTTGACGTCCTCGGCAGCTCTAGCCTGCGCGGCGCGGCCTTCGCGAATAGCGGCACGACGGGCTTCAATCGAAGCTTGGAGATCTGCTTTCCGGGCTTGAGCTGCACGGAGAGTGCGGGTCTGCGAGGCCACGTATTTCGAGGCGAGTTGGGCTGCGTCTTGGGCTTGGGGAACGGCGTCTGGAGGCGAACGGTCGAGAAGCGAGTTTATCTGCGCGGTGAGGGCTTCGCGTGTAGCTAGGGCGTCTTGGATGGAATTATCGAGGTTGGAGAGTTTCATGAGCGCATTGTATGACGATGTGGGCAAGGTAGGGGCCTGTTTTGGCTCGGGGGTTTGGCTCGAGAGCTCGAAAGAGTAAAGACCATCGAGGAGTTGGAAGACGAGACAGTTTGGAGGGAAGTGGTGGTTTCGCAGGGTCCCAAGGTAGTTTAGGGAACGCAGGTCGACGTTTTCAGTCAGTAGCAAAACCCATGATTGCTGCTTCTTAGCCCATATCTTAATTATGAATTGGTGTCTCCTCGTAACGGTCGGTCCAGCTTGTAATAGGTCGAAAAAACGAAAATTAAAATTCATCGCACGCTCGCCTACTTCGCTGATATAAACAGGTTCCTCGCCATCGTGACAGTGCAGGGAGAAAAACACGTCGGCAGCTCTACTCTCGACGGTGTATTCTAACTGCTTCTGACGCGTGATAGGGCTGATATTAGCGAGAGTCGTGCTGCGTCGTCGGGAATTGGCTCGTGAGGGCAGCAAGCTCTCGGAGGAATGGGAATGGTGAAGCTGGGGGGGTCCATCGTGAAGGGCCTGAAGCTTGGTGGAAGGGAGATCGGCCTCGAGGTCGTCGGTAGCCCTGCCGTGGGGTCGGGTGAAACTCAGGTTCCGAAGGTAAATGCCTTGGAGATGGCGTAGGCGCCGGTTCTGAGGCAGCATTGTGGTTGTGCTGCTTGCTGCGTGGGCAGCGGGCGCATGAGGAAGGTCATGGGTCAGGGTTGATGGTTTGAGGGTTTGATTTGATGATGACGAATTAACAAATAAAAGCCCTGCATGATGGAGATTTAATTACGTTTAGGTACTTCGGTATTCTTGTGATAATGCATATTACATTCTTAAGTACATTTACACTATAAATGCATATATGTATACCCAAATGTATCTATCAAGGTTATTTTCCAACTAAGTCTCTGAAAGACCATATATGCATCCAAGTACAACCTTCTATATCTTGCAGATAATTCAAAAAACATAACTCGCTGTAATGAAACGTGACAATCAATCAAATCTAATAGCTGGCCAAGTCCTGGGCCTACTACCTCAAAGCCTACATACCTACTATTCAGGTTGGGCAGTTTTTATGTAGGTATTGTTACACATGAATCTGCCTAACATCATTTTCCTACTCAAGCCACGGGGCAGTGTATTTCAAATCCCGCATGAATGAACCAGACCCCCTTTCTCTTTCTGCCCATCTCGATCATCACCTCTGAACCCCTCAAACTAATAGTATTCACATTTGTTACTATATTGATCCATTCCAACAAGTTCTTACACTCGTTGATTATGGCCGAAGCACTTGGGGTTGCTGCTAGCGGTATTGCCGTTGCGCAGATTGCTATCCAGGTCGGCGGCACCGTAGTCAAACTAAAGCAACTTTGGGATGAAGTGAAAGATGTTCCCGATGACATCGCTGATCTGATGGACCAGATCGACTGTCTAGATCCCGTCCTATGGGAAGTCGAAAATGGGTTCAATAAGAGCGAACTACCGTCGATGCTCTGGGATAACTTAGCTTCCAAGTCAACCACCAGATATTGTCGCAAGGCTCTTGAGAACCTAACTGCAATGGTTGAGGAGTTGAATCTCCAAATAAATACCGCTAAAAGGGGCCGAAGAAAGATAGTAGCCATCAAGGTTCTACTCAAGAAGGACTCCATTAAGAAGCTGGAAAGACGACTTGAGAATGCTGTCCGAATGCTAACATTAGCTCAACAATCCTATCTCGTGTAAGTAGCGGATCATATAGATATATATCCTATAACGTGGCTGAATACCCTTTAGCGCCCTCACCCAGGTGCAACCTGATATCATAGTCCAGAAATTTACTACTCTTACGATCCATAAAAAGCAATACGAGCCACAAGAAACATCTGATTTCGCATCGAAGACAGAGGTGCAGACCGTTTCACCGTTGCGCCATGGGCAACAAGATACCGGCGACATATATACGAAGCCTCGCTGGGTATATAAGACAAGACTGACTCGTCCTAATAACTTTGGCAGAATTTACGTCGAATCTTTCGCGGCAGGCAGTAGAGTCCTATTTCAAGCTCCAGTGTGGTTTTCTCATCGATCATGGGAACTACATAGCATTAAGGCGAACGGAGCTTGGCAATTGAACTTGAGGTCATACAGGCTCATTCCTGAAGATAGTAAAGTTATAGCATTATCACGAAGAGGATCCCCACAGGACATTCAAAGGCTCTTTGACGCAGGGTTGGCATCTCCATACGACTACACTTATTGCGGGTGGAGTTTATTCACTGTGAGAGCTACGAAACTTTAATTGCTTCCGCCGCTAATTTTCATGATATTTGTAGTATGCTTTTTTCCAGTGTAATATCAAAGTGATAAAATATCTAATTAGCATAGGTTGTTTTATGGGTGATATATCTGGATGGTACGCCCGACAGTCGCTTCAAAGTATGTTTCTAATGGGGATTCTAACTAATATTATTTTAGGCGTTCAGCAACGGATTATTCGTTTCATTACCATCACACTAAAAATTATCTCAATTTCCCATTTGCTACACAATTTATATCGGACCCATCCCTTATTAAATATCTTCTCGAATACGACGATGATGAAAACTATCTACTTCCTACATGCAACTGTAAACTAGGTCATTATAGCGTTGAGACTTACAAGATACTGCTCCCTTATCAATGCTCATCTCATCGACGTACCCCCCTATGGTCGCGGCTCAAGCTAGCTAAACGAGTCCTCCAGACTGGAGGGGACATTGAGGTATTTAAATTAATTCTTGAGCCGGATTGGACTACTAATCGCAGAGCTATTTCTTCTTGCCCGGGCTTGCCAGTTATTACTGATCTCGCTTATGTACTGGTGGCCAAGTTGCTTAGCTGTTATACAAGCCACAAAGAGCTAGCACAAATTGAATACCCAATGTCGAGTCTTCTTGATCAGTTGACGATTATAGTCAACCTACTCAAGGACACTCCTGACATTCACGTCAGTTCATGTATAAGGGACCTTGACGCAACAGCCCTCGGACACGCGATTTCTTGGGTAGCGATTGCAGAGATTTCAAGCGTCTATTCATACCGAGCAGTATTACACATTATTTATAAGAACGTAAGGGTGTGGCTAGAGGCACTGGAGCAGGCTGGTATTGATTTGGAAGCCTATGGCCGACGTGAACACGAAATCTTTGTTGAAAGGAAATATGAGTTTTACACTGCGTACTATCGCGAAATGCGCCCCATTGGCTTCAAATTTGGCCCAAAGCCAGAAGATTGGGAATTCTATTTTTACGAGCCTATAGATGATTATTTCAGCGAGTTCTGGAAACTGATTGAGGACCCACCTATCCGTGTTCCAGGGTCTTGGGTCGATGATGATGATGATAATTAAGATGGCTACGGGTTTAGGAGTTCACCTTTTAGAGAATAGAGTATACGAATCGATACAATGGCAATCATTATTGGCAGACACCTCACTCAAGCCTTAAAATACAAGGATCGAGAAAACTTATAACCGACAAGAATATTTCCGTACTGGAATGTCTCAAGATATCTTCCATATATCAACCTAGGCTATAATAACCGACACCTATATCACGCGATTGTTTCCCTAGGCTACAAAAACTGACGGTTTCCGCACTTCAAGTCAACGATGGCTGCCGGTCTTTGCTAGTCTGTCGACTCCGCTTGCGAACCTTGGGGGGTCTTATCTCTCTGGGGTTCATCTCGGACTGGACCCGTCGCTTCAGCTTCGTACTTCTCACGGCATCTTAGTTGATTTCCTTACTTCGTCGGCTAAGTTTGATAGAAGAAGGGGTTTAAGGAGGGAAGAGGGGGTAGACATACGTTCTCCTTAGATACTCAGCCTGCTCTTCTGGGGATACCTCTTCATCCCACCCTGGAGTCTCGATTACGTTTAACAGCTCGCGGAGTTGCTCGGCGGCCGAGGAAGCTTCGGGATCCATCGACGGAATTAGGCTCGCGCTTGGAGTGTGGTATGGTACCGGGCTTAGGTGTAAGGATGATATTATTGAAGTTTTGCCACATTTCGAAACTCCGTTCGCTTTCTTGGGACACGGTGAAGGGCTCCCTGCGTCGAGATGTGATACAAGGTCTTCAGCTTTCATTCCTAGGGCGAGCCTCTCATGTCCCTGCGTGTCGCGCCGATACCTTGTTAGAGGTGATAGTCCGCCTACCGAGCCCGGTTGTGCGTGTTGTTGTATAGAGACGAGGGTATCATAGCTCAATATACTTGGACCATCCGGGTTTCCGGTCTCGGTAACATTTTCATGGTGCCTATAAGATTGCATTTGTTGAGAACTCAGGTCTGGCCTCGGGTGGCTCTGAGACAAGGCTTGAAAGGAAGGGATAGGACAAGTGTAACTACCATATAGATTAGTTGACGAGTCTCAGGCGTTACTAATTGTAAAAATACAGATCACGTCTTACAGCGCTTGTCCATCATCACTCAAGCTGATGACGGTGTCACTAGGTGAATGGTCACGGAAGCATCGCTCACTTCGTACGTCGATGTGGCTATCTCCTCCGATGCCTTCATATTCAATATCATCGAACTCGGCTACCGTCATTTTTCATAAGCGATTAATTGAAATAATTGATATATAAGAGTAGTTAGAATGAAACTAGTTATGTCGAAATATCCTAACTAAATGCGACTGTGAGCCCCCTTTTAATACTTCCAGCATAATTAACAGTATATAAGTACGAGGAGGTAATCTTCAACCCAGAATGCGGCTCGTAGACCCTCATGGTATTAGATGCTGATCAAAAAGCTTAAGCCGCGACCCAATCTCTTGGAAATAGGTGGGACATCCCCTTGTCTCGTTGCCTCTCCACGAGGACCCAGCGGTCTGGGTAGCTGGGCGGCAAGAGGAACGGCCCCGGCATATAATAGAGAAATGAACAAATACATAAGATACGGTTGGATGGGACCCATCCAGTTGGTCACGGCAGAATATCCCGGCCACATTGCATGAATATTGGTACAAGGATAAGGTTCAAATACCCAATCACATCCCTCGACGATATGCAGGCCTCGCGTTAGCGATATGAGATGCGAACCAAATAGCCGGTACTAAGACCCGATGATCTGGATTTTGTTATTGCGCTGTATGTAGTAACGACTCAATATGTAAGGTATCTACACGACATACTTCCGAGAGCTGCCGAAACCCCAGTATTCGCTGCAGATGGCGCAAAGAGCGGTGACACCATCACGACACGACGTTAGGCAAAAAAAAAAAAGAAATTATACGGCTTGCAGCGTTTTCTCCATCTCCACATCATGCAAAGATATGTGCGATTGGCAGCTCGTTCACGCATGAACTTGTTTCACCGTAAGGCTGTGTAACCAACGCTATTCGTGGCATACGGTGAATAGCCAGAGAGGTGTTGCCTTTTTCTTGCCTCGATTCTTTTTTTTTTTTCTTCTACAGCGCCAAATTTGAAATAGTGATATGTCATATTAGTTTAACTAGGGGATATTCTGTAACCAGACGAAGGTCGGGGTTACTTTAAGACCGAATACCATACTTCCAGCATAATTTCTATCTAGGTATATGCAAAGATACAATGGATAAAATAAAACACGAATAAGCCTGGCCTCCTCTCTAAATCCCGACAACTGGGTTACCATTGTCCCGTACCCACGGTCCGGGATGCATATTAACTGCAGTGCGACATTATAACTGCCGCATGCCTGCAGACAATTGCCTCGGGGTGACATGAAAAAAGGAAAGAAAAAAGGGCCAAGCTGTAACCTAATTCTAGGAGTAAGTTGCCTGATGTATTGTCGATAAATCCTACATATACGGATTTGGCAAGAAGAGCAATTCCTATTTCTCCAATAGTCACTTATACATACATACCCAAGCAAAATACTGCACTGTTACGCTTGACCGCACATCCACACGCATGCGCATGGACTCAATGCTTCATTGCCCGATGGGCCCATCGGGCAGCTTTCCGGAAATCACTTCCTCTCTCCGAGGGATAAAAATAGAAGCATGGTGCTTGTCCATATGTAGGAGTGCTCGGCATGTGCCGAGCTTATCATTGCTTACGAGTTACGGCCAAGCATCTTTGTTACGTTTAATTATCATTCCATACTATTTGGGCATCTGGATCTATCTATCGAATTTACAGGGGGAAAGGTATTAACGACTTGAATTTAATGATTTTGTTGAGTAAACTATGTAGATGTAGAATGAGGTAGAACTGCGGAAAGAGTGTAAGTTGGGGCTCGGTCCTTTTCAACTTTTGTAGTAACTATGTTTCATAGAAATTTCGTTAGTAGCTATTGCAAATGCCTAACACATAGCATATACCAAAATGCTTTTCTACCTATCGTTATTTCTAAGCTTACGAGGGACGATGCCTCCGACTAACTTTCATGAGATATAAAATTCGCCTATGCATGCGTTTCGAGGCTTTTTGTTACTCAGATTCACAAACCATACTGATAAAATGGAAAAAGTTCGGAGTTACCAGAGATTGTGATAACTTCGTATATCAGCACATACCTATCTACCTCCAATATGACATTTATTCTATATGTTTTTGGATTCATCGATACTGTATCAGCCAATACGCCAACCTAAAAGTCAGATAGTGGCCCGTCCACTGAGTTCAAGTGGCTTACTGTTATATTTATGGTGATATCAGCCATTGTAGCTTAAATAAAGCCGGATCGTCTCATGATTACTCGCACGTAACTTTGCAAAACTTAGATATGCCAGACCATTAAGCCGGCCGTTACAGTGAAATAAATTAAGTCATCACCTATGAATCCGTTCGATCCTCTTTTCTTCATAGCTTTTATACTTGAAAATGGGCCAGTCCCAGCGCCATGGCAATGTGGTTCTCTACTAGGGTTTCATGTTTATTGGTAGAGATTCTATTTGATAGTGGCTAGCAAATAGAAGTATCGTGCTTTTACTTTACATGTTCCATAGAAAGTTTCAGGCTATTTAAGAGGCACCCTTAACTCATGGTCTCAAGATATATAAGTGTGAAGATCTGCCCTTGCCTACACTTCAATTTAACAACACTCGTAGAATCCCGACTTTACTCTAACAAGACGAATTATTATTTATTGTATAATACCCCTATTCCTCCCAGAAGACCTGTTGCGACAAAACCTTCCATCATGACCCCTGAACAACTCTCAAGCTCACGCCGCGGGTTCATTCTTATAGTAATAATCGTGGTCTCGACGCTCCGCTTGCTGCGCGACCTAGACCCAATCATTCAAAAACCCGGCGATAAGTGGGGGTTTTGCTCTCTTTTTGTCATGATGTCATTCGTTTTGGTGAATTTTGATCATTCGAATACTTTGACGACAGAAGAGCAACGTGCCGCCGGGATTCCAACCGGCCCTCAAGTCGCGGGGCTTTTTAGCATCTGTGTGTATATATTCTGCAACCCCTTTGACACATCTATCGCATGGGCCCATGGTGCTCTCTGGTCGTTCTGGATTACCTATTTTGTCGCAAGATGGTAAGTAACTGAATTATTTATAACCCTTTTTTTCTTTTAATTTCCTATCCGCCACATTATTTAATATGGCGGTTTTTCGAATGTTTAACTCATAAGATATATTTCAAGGATGGTATCCCTTATCAAGATTACAATCACTGACCTTGGATCACGTAGCAAATTCCTAATAGTGAAATCACTAGACTATAGCTGGCAATACTTGCGGGCTGGAGGTAGAGTTAAACTCTGAATTTATCTAAGATATGGCAATTAGGTTCTTGGGAAGGAGGTCTTTGGACTTGGAACGCGTGCTTGTAGCTTTAGTGTACCTACGACTATAGCACTTGACATTGACACATTCATTATCGGGAAGGGGCGGGGGTTATTTGACGGGGTACAAGAAAGAGTGGCCTTCTGAATAATTTTAATAACGGCTGTCGCGGGCATTTAATTGACGTATGTCACGTATAAAACTGTGATACACCAGGTAAATAAGTTTCGAAGGTGAATGCCCGAATTTAGGAGGGTTATTATCACAAGCTCCTTTCGAAATAGGAAGATCGTCTCTGTGTGTGGCCCTTTGAAGCTTTTTATTGAATGCATCCTCTAAATATAAATAGATCTTACCAAGTCCCCACTTCCATCTTTTCTCTAAATATATATCTTTTTGCTTCCGAGTCCTCCCTTTGGATGCCGAGCCGCGGGTGAGGGTATTTAAAATGTTCAATATATTCAACTATACAATAGTAATAAACTCGGGCTATTGTGGAAGCCTGCATGGGTGGCCTCCTGTTTCCTTTTTAGAGCTGGCAGGTGCTAAAACAGTATAAACGTTTACAATACGAACGGCAGGCGGGTGGCAAACTCATGACGACAGCAGTTCTGAAAGCCACA